TTGTGTTGTAAAAACTGACACTTTAAAATTCATGTGTCAGGGTGGGTGGCGGGTATGGGAACTCTTATGCCACATGGTGAGGAGTAATGTTCACATGATATTTGGGGGCCGTGTATAAAATTAACGCTAGCTGAATATAGCAATGAAAAAATAAATATATTTAAATATAAATACAGAAAAACACTTGATACAACAACACCGGTAGGTACAAAACATTTGATGTTAGTACCTATGTACTTAATTTTTATTTTCAATTTAGGTTTGCCGTCGTGCATTTGTTTTGAAAAACAAATAATTTTCAAATTAAACCGCCGCAAAAGATGATTCGTCAAAATTTTTTAATGTGTTTTATTGAAGCTGAAAGGAAAGACCTCGATTTTTTACATTTTATACCGAATTCTGTGATTTGACTTTTTTAAATGTACTGTTATTAAGCATATCGACAGTTAACAATCAATAATGTCTATCTCAATTTTTGGCTGTGTCTGTTTAAGTCAATAGAATTAAAGTCCAATTTGGCATAGATTGTTCAAACAGTTATACTCAATATTCACAGTACTTCTTACGTTATTAGCCATAGAAATACCACCTATGTTACGAGGACGTAAATTTTTCTGCCAATATTGTCTATCTCTCCTCAAAGCGTCTTTATCTCGCCGCTGTGGGTGCGTGAGTGGTTTTTACTGTCAGTTGGATGGTTTTTTTTTTAATTTTTTTATTGCTTAGATGGATGGACGAGCTCACAGCCCACCTGGTGTTAAGTGGTTACTGGAGCCCATAGATATCTACAACGGCTGCCCCACCTTACAAACCGAAACGCATTACTGCTTCACGACAGAAATAGGCAGGGCGGTGGTACCTCCCGTGCGGACTTAAGAGGTCATACCACCAGTAATTATGCAAATTATAATTTTGTGGGTTTGATTTTTATTGCACGATGTTATTCCTTCACCGTGGAAGTCAATCGTGAACATTTGTTAAGTACGTATTTCATCAGAAAAATTGGTACCCGCCTGCGGGATGTGATCAACGGTGCGTCGCTAGATATAAATGCACCGGACGTCTTATCCTTTGGGCCACGACGACTTCAAAACCTACTATCTACTATATTGATGTTATTGGATGAAAATAACATAGTAAGAAATCACATAGTTTATTAATCAATAGCATGGAGTAAGATTATTTTCCATACCTTACACTTGGTATCCTACAAATGAGGCAAAGAATCATAACTTGTGGGACTCTGCTGGTAGAACTTGTTTGATTCTTAACCTACATAAGGAAACCAGGCATAGCTTGATGCAATTGAATTAGACTGAATAAAGATTCATTAATTTCATTTTTAAAATGCTTTACACACCACTAGTCTAGTACATGATAATGCCCATATGCTTAGTTTTGAATTTTTGTCTGTCTCGTTGGTAACGCAAAATATTCCGAGAACCAAAATAAAAGTATATTTAAATAGTGCTAGTGAGTGTTGTAGCCCGCACGATTAAGTACCACCGCCTAAGACTATTTCTGCCGCAAAATTCATGCACTCCGGCTTGAAGGTTGGGATAGCCGTTTTAACTATACAGTTGAAATTTAGATCTCATATCCGAATATATGTTAGCGGCATTCAGATTTTGATGTATAAGAGTTCCGGTAACCGTTTAACATCAGTTGTATTTAATAAAAATACAACAGGAATATAATATAAGAAGAATCAAGAAGGAAAAACATCATTCCAAAAGAGTAATAAAAAAAAGATGGTTTTTGCAATCTGACGTCTGCGATCTCTGCGGTGTATTGCTCACGGTCAAATCAGTAAACCTTTTTGCAGCGCACATGAACACACGTGACGCAAGCCTGTGATACAAATTAGCACATCAGCAAGTACATATACCTACATAGCTTCCCACCAAAAAAGTTGCCTCATGGTTTTTTTTTATGATTGAAAGATTACTTGTGGCCCGGAGGCCTTTCCAGCTTCACCAGGACAGGTGGGCGAGCAAAGGCTCAGCCAAGAGGGGTGGAATTTGCTAACAACTGCCCGAGCGCCTCCGAAGGAGACCTAACAACTCAAGAGCAATTGCTTCGCGAATGAATCTACTACCGGATCGGAATCGCGACCCACTGAGAAGATCCGGCGAGAAACGCCTGATGCATGGGTTAGGTTGCACACATGCCTCATTGGTATCTTATCATGTCTAGATTTCACAGAAACCTAAGGTTCTTCTTCTAAATGATTTAGTCTACCGTTTGTTGTTCTTATTTAGTTAGTATGTAAAATCCTTTCGCTGTCGCTTCCGTAGTATCAGCTGTAAAAAAAACAAAAATACATTCTTCTTCGAACTTATCATGCTAATATGTTTTGAAGTCGTATACCTAAATGCTGAACACGTCAGAGACATTAAACATGTTTTTTATACGCAGAAACCAATGCTGTTGTATTGTTTATTAGTACTATAATTTATTCATGCGACTTACATTTTAATTTTATTGCACTAGCTAAATAGACGACCAAACAGTGCCCAACGGACTAAGTGTTATGTATATGTTAAGTGTGTCGAAAGCTATTGTTGACCTTGAAACGTGGGGTCTAAGGCTCAATCGTATTGTAGAGCGGGCCTGTTCCCCCCTAAACTATGCTTTGAAACACATATTAATTTATAAGTTGCGTAATTACTGGTGGTAGGACCTGTTGTGAGTCCGCGCGGGTGGGTACCACCACCCTGCCTATTTCTGCCGTGAAGCAGTAATGCGTTTCGGTTTGAAGGGTGGGGCAGCCGTTGTAACTATACTTGAGACCTTAGAACTTATATCTCAAGGTGGGTGGCGCATTTACGTCGTAAATGTCTATGGGCTCTTGTATCACTTAACACCAGGTGGGCTGTGAGCTCGTCCACTCACCTAGCAATAAAAAAAAAATTAGATTTAGAAGATAGATTTCTTAGAATAATTAGTATCATTGCGGGGAATCTTGGCATAGTCGCAACATTGGATACGAATACACTGGTTTTTCATCCTTTAGCTCCCATGGCCAGACGGAATCAGTTACGTGTTCATCCTCCTATTTATCTTAGATTCATTATCGGAATAATTCGATTCATATATTACTATGAATACAGCTTAATCAGAAATAAAGTCAAATGTGACCATTAACATTAAAAATGCCGAAATTAATTTCGCATTACGTATTTTTTGTGTCTTGAAATGTAGGTACGGCAGTAAACTTAATTTATTAGAACTAAAAAATCTGTGTTGTAGTTATTTAATAAATCATATGATATTATATTGCTTTATTACAATTTCTGGTTTATGTATATTTTCGTTTGTAAGTTGATAGCACTAACGAGTACTGCGACGATTTGTTTTTATCTTTTTGGTTAACTTTGAACAAATAACGTATTGAATAATTAATTGCTTTTAAGAAATTTGAATACAAAGTCGGTTTGTATTTAAATTTTGTTATTTTTTTTTTACTTTTTACAGTATAGAGTGATGAGTTCAAGTAAGGTCAACGGAGACCGTAGACATTACCAACGAATAGCTTCCACTTCATTTGAAGCATGTAATTGAAGTCTCAGTTCTATTGTATCAAAGCTGTTCCGGCGTTAAAGGGAACGCACGATTGTAGGTAGAAAGTGGATTGTGGTACCTGTATGGTCTCTCAACATGCCCTGCCACTACTAAAATGTTACTGCTCAGTGTGGAGTAGTAGCTATTCCAATGCAACTGAGTTCGGATTCATGTGCTGTAATGCGTTTCGCTTTGAAGGGCGGGGCAGCCGTTGTAACTATACTGAGACCTTAGAACTCAAATCTCGAGGTGGGTGGCGGCATTTACGTTATAGATACGGGCTCCGGTAACCACTTAACTAACACCAGGTGGGCTGTGAGCTCGGCCACCCATATATGCAATAAAATAAAATAAAAATGACGTTCACATATTGCGGTTTTTTTTTTTTTTTTTTTTTTCCTACCTAAGCTGATAGCCCTAGCGGCTATTTCAGCGTAACCCTAACTTTAGTAGGTGAGCTCACGGGGCTCAAACCTGACGATGTTGCTATCACGAACCCTAGCAAGAGTCGTGCTTCGCAGAATCTACCACCGGATCGGAAACGCGACCCACTGAGAAGATCCGGCGAGAAACTCAGTGGGCTGTGTCTGAGAGTTAATTTACTCGTCGAGCCCTTCGTCGCAAGCGACGGGTTCGACGAGAACGGTGACCGGTGCTTGAAGTACCTAAAAGCACCGTTAGTGGATCGGGAGGATCCGAGATGACGTGTTTTGGGCGACGTCGACTGCTTTCCATTCTGTCCGCAGGATCGGGAATGTAGTTACCGGCGGCCACGATCAGAGGGTTCTCGTGTCGTGCCGCTTTATCGAAGTGGCGCATGGACGCCGACTGAAGATACTTACTGATGGACTCTAAGTCCAGGTCGTCATGGAGGTGATATTGCGGTTTATGGGGCCCGCTATTTATAGAATAACCGTGGGGCGTGAACACCTCTGCTTGACTGTTGTAGGTACTTGCGTAAACGCCGCTCTGTACCCATTCTTTAGTTGCTAGGCAAACATTGTCCTACACTTTGACAGCCACGGTCGGAAATACATATGTACATATCGACGCTTGAAAGGCAAAAGTGACTAAGCGACAATAACTGCTTTGTACATAAATGATAGGCAATAACCATATTCGATGCGCAAAAAAAATATATTTCTAGGTCTACTAAAATCATTTCAATCCTACAGCTACTAGCTAGATTCTACTACAGCTGGATTCGTTAAAATACATTTTGTTTTCAGGTATTTCAACTTTAAATTAGTCTACTGTAAAGTTCACGCATTATCGCTTAGTCACGTTTGCCTTTCAAGCGTCGAATTATATTCTAACAGCTAAGCAAACTCTTATCATTAACATTCACTGACTAAGTTACTGGGTTATAGTTTTTTTTTTTTTGCATCACAATTAATTACGTTTAAATTATGAACGTTGTTTTTCTCATGTTTCAGATAAAGTCTGGCAGCATACGAGATGGCTACTGGAAACAGATAGCTTGGATCGGACGAAATTGTTTGAATAATTAGTTGGAAGAATAATTGAATTTCAACAAGAGGTCACAATGGTGAACGTTGTTACGACGGTAGATAACAACATGAACAACACAAATAACAATCATAAAGAGGTAAGATTTTTTTCCCCCTCCTATGCTGATAGCCTTGAGAGGCTATTTCAGCTTCTCCTTGACGTGTAGGTGAGCTCACGGGGCTCAAACCGGAGTGTTGCTAGCACTGGCCCTAGCAAGAGCAGTGCTTCGCAGAATCTACCACCGGATCGGAAACGCGACCCACTGAGAAGATCCGGCGAAAAACTCAGTGCGCTGAAGGTAAGATCGAATGGTAACCAGCGCCTACATTTCTGCCGTGAAGCAATCAAGTGTTCCATTGTCAAAGGTGGGGCAGCAGATATACAATATGATGTTCGACCTCATGTCTTAAGGTGGGTCGCTTAAAATTATATGCTTATATTAAATATATAAACAGGAAAAGATGATATAGTGAGCTTCTACTTCCTCTGTTCTCCATTAAGATATGTTTTTGTTTTATAGCTGGTGACGAATTTTAGTGCTGTGAATAAAACATGTTTTTTTTTTTGGAATAGTCCGATTTTTTTCTTCTAATATCGATAACAAGAATCTAAGCGTTTAGGTGTTAAATACCACTGTCTAATTTCGATCTTTAGACGAATACTAGTTAGTATAAACGAGCAACGACATTTATAATCCAAAGGTCTTTTAAAAAAAAAAACCAAGAATAATTTTAATGCTGCACAATACACACAGCTATACTAAACAATAAAAATTGTTGTAGCTTGGCAGTAATTCTTAAGCCGAACAATAATCTGTAGGTACACAAGAACGTTCACAATGCAGAGAAATGCAAAGAAAAAACAAATTCTTTACGTCAACTGTAGTGTTCAACGCAAGCTTAAAATATCAAGTGTGGCCTTATGCTATGACCAAGATTAATGAATGGAGCAAGTTTAAACCAGGTTTTTGTAGCCGAAAATACAAATAATTTTTGTTGCTTTTTATGGATTAATAGACATTTATAGGACACTATAGGTGTATATATATATATATATAGGTGTATACTTATATTTATAGGTCACTATAGCCATCCCCAGCTTATATTGTCATATGGATAGCTGCTCTTAACTTAAGTAAATAATACTATTATTGTTGATAAGATAATGAACGGTAGTAGCGGTGGTTATAGGTAGAGCTGGCTCTCGTGTTTCTCTGTATGAAAAGCCTGACAAAGTATATATAAAGTATATATATATCAATGCAGGAACGTCGTACCGTAAGTGTAGGAGGGGGTCTTAAAATACATAGTAAAAATGAATGTAATACTACAGTATTGCAATTGGCCAATAAATCTATAAGATTGTTGTCTGTAATACACTGAATTTTTATCCTGCTCTCTTACACTTTGACGACATCTAACTTTTTCTTGCGAATTTTGTGAACGAGCTCACGGCTCAGTCGCGTTAAATGGTTAGCTGAGTCCATACACATCAACAAAGCAAATTCCGCAACCAACTTTCAGACTTGAGTTCTATATCTATGTTCTATAGTCCAACGTCTGCCACACCCTTCAAACCGGAACAAAATTACGGCTTTGCAGCAGAAATAAGAACGATGGTGATAGCAATAGTGGACTCAATACGGTCTTTATTTTATCCCCGGTCATCGTTCTCCTCGAACCCGTCGCTTGTGACGAAGGGCTCGGCGAGTAAATTAACCCACAGACACAGTCTGCTGAGTTTCTCGCCGGATCTTCTCAGTGGGTCACGTTTCCGATCCGGTGGTAGATTCTGTGAAGCACGACTCTTGCTAGTGTTCGTGTTAGCAACAACGTCAGATTTGAGCCCCGTGAGCTCATCTACTAGCCCGGTGACGCTGATATGGTCTCTCTATACCATCAGCTTAGGTAGAAAAAAAACTTCATTTTAACCCTACGTAGATAATTATTATTTAGTCGGAAAGCGGACATAAGCATACATACATGCACGTCAGATTTTTTGTAGTATTGTACATGGATGCTGCTTGGTAGTAAGTTGAGTACTCGTAGACGACGATTTGAATACAGCCTCCAACCTTGAGACGTGAGGTCGAAGTTTGAATTATGTTATAATAGCTGTCTTATTCTTTAAAGTTTAGACCACTGAGTTTCTCGCCGGATCTTTTTAGTGGGTCGCGATTCCAATCCGGTGGTAGATTCTGTGAAGTACTGCTCTTGCTGGGGCTAGTATTAGCAAATTCTCTCAGGTCCAGCCCGTGAGCACATGTTCCCGTCCGGGCGTAGCTGAAATAGCCTCTTAGGCTACCAGCGAATGATTAGGGGAAAAAATCTTCAAACTGCAGCGCACGGCTTTTTTGCGACAAAAACGAGAAAGGACTCCATTCGAGTTTTGGTTCCATTCGAGTTTTATATACTGAGTTTATTCCTTCATCGTATTCTATCAGTCTGTCAGATTTGAATCACGAGCCGTATCACTCGACACGAGTACTCATATCGTGCATTGAGTGTAAAATTGCGATCACTGGAAATATCAAGTGATATCTTTTGTATCTACATCTACATCATTTAATTTGCCTGCTAATTATAGAGGTACATTCGTAGTTAATTATATATAATTCAAGTAAGCACAATAATGCTTACCTGTTTCTCTTATTGCGTTATTGCTCACGAGTTTTATGGTTTGATATTCAAATATATTTCATATGCATTTCAAACTACTGTATGTCTACCATAAGACGCCCGAAATACTCGATTGTAGTATTTTTATTAACAGTGTTTGTTTTTCGATCTTCCGTTGATTTCCCAGCAAAAGCAAACCTTAATTTTTTCATTTAATGTAAAATGTTGCTTTATAACGATTGGAGTTTACGGGCTCAAATTTATAAATAATTCTTAAGTATATGTATATAATAAGTAACCCTAAAAGGATATCATCGTGTAATAAACATCCAACTGAACCAATAATAATTTATCATGAAATATTTTTATGTGTCGTAATTAAAATAATTATTAGTAATCATTTTGGTGTTTCGGTTGGAATTATGAAATTCCAATAAAATAGTATTGTAAGTAAACACACCGCAACATACTCGAACATAGACACAACCCACTGAATTTGTCACTGGATCTTCTCAGTGGGTCGCAGTGGGTGGGTAGTAGATTCAGCAAACCACTTCTCTTAAGCGGTAGGCAGTGGCTTGGCTCTGCCCCTGGCATTGCTGAAGTCCATGGGCAACGGTAACCACTCACCATCAGGTGGGCCGTATGCTCGTCCGCCTCCAAGGGCAACAAAAAAAAATAAAAAAATAAGGCAAATGTTAGCTAACTAAACTAAAAGAAGGCAACATCTCGATATTTTTTTCTTCCATAATAAATACTGTTTCTATTGGGTGATCGCCTTTAAACGATCTTTTGTGTTTCAGGAACAAACTACCCATATACGTTTGTTTTCTAATTATATTTTTGTAATGTGTTGTTTATTTTGTAATGTGTCGTTCACAGTTCGAAAGGTATAAGTGTATAAATATATTTATACTAGCTTTTGCTAGCGACTTCGTCCGCGTGGAATAGCTCACAAATAATGCTCTATTTTAGAACAAATTTGGTTAGCATAAAAAACGTTATAGGGAGCCAACCTTAATATATAGACATATGCTGTCGTGGACTTTTTTTTAGATCTTTTAAAAGGAAACAATTCTGTCATACATTATTTTAACGAAACTTTAACCGTTTTCGCAGCGCACGCAGCGGAAGCTCTCAAAAGGGAAAAAACCCGAATTTGAAAAATTCTTTTGGTACTCCGCCTGCATTGGTCTTAGCGTGATGTTATATAGCCTATATATAGCCTTCCTCGATAAATGGGCTATCTAACACTGAAATAATTTTTCAAATCGGACTAGTAGTTTCTGAGATTAGCGCGTTCAAACAAACAAACTCTTCAGCTTTATAATATTAAGTATAGATACATATCTACAGGATGGCTAGGTGACCCGGCAAACGTTGTTTTGCCGTATAATTTATTTCTTTGAAAGATAAATAATCTAAATACCGACTGCCGCGCCATCTGCCGCGCTGATTTGTGCATCTAAACCATCCAGGGCGCCACCCAAACGCATACAAAAAAATCGTTCATATCGGTTTAGTCGTTTAGGAGGAGTTCAGTGACAAACACACGTACAGAAGATATATATACCTAATAATACTAGCTGACCCGGCAGACTTCGAGTGCCTCAATCGATAAATAAAAGACCTAAGCTTTTGTATAAAATAAATTTAAAACAAACAATAGGGGACACATCAAAGGAAAAACAAAATTGTTATTTTTATTTAATTCCGAGCATTTTCATATTTATCTACCTTTCAAACCTTCTTTGGACTTCCACAAATAATTCAAGACCAAAATTAGCCAAATCGGTCCAGCCGTTCTCGAGTTTTAGCGAGACTAACGAACAGCAATTAATTTTTATATATAGAGATATTAAAAAGATTTACTCACAATCCTTCAGCGCAATGCAATATTTCAGATAAATACACTCAGTTAGAATAGCTTACAGTTTTTCAGAACTATAAACCCGCAAACAGTAGGTACCTAACTAATACCTAAAGTGGCTGATGTATGTTTGTGATGATTAAAACGAATCAGATCAAGTTGGTTCGAAAACACGATGTTCCTGAATAGTTTATAACATAAAACGGCTGTTAATTCTTAAATATTTATTTACATATATTTTTTTTTAATAGATGAAACCCGGTGCTGTTGACATCGAAAAAAGCAAACAGAACAGTGATTCGGATGGAGTGTCTTGGGGAAAAATATTATACGTGTTGCTGTCGCTAGCAGTTATCGTGATAGCCTGTGGCGTTGCCTGGGTATTCCAGGACTGGCTCACCAGTCTTATCATCTTCGTTGTACTTTTGGTGGTATTCACCGTTGGCTATTTCTGGAAATGGCTGTACATCGCGGCCAGAACTGCTCCTAGAGATTTTTCGTAAGTTTGAATATTCTTTAAAACGGATTGTTTACAATATTTTTTAGAAGTCGTTGTAGGTACCACCGCCCCGCCTATTTCCGCCGTGAAGCAGTAATGCGTTTCGGTTCGAAGGGTGGGGTAGCCGGTGTAACTATACTGAGATCTTAGAACTTATATCTCGAGTTGGGTGGCGCATTTATGTTGTAGATGTCTATGGGCTCCAGTAACCACTTAACACCAGGTGGGCTGTGATCTCGTCCATCCATCTAAGCAATAAAAAAAAATTAAATAAATTATATGATCACGAATATTCAATATTTCTCAGAAATCCTTGTACAGATTTATAAAACGTACTTCGTACCGCGTTCCCCGTATTATTTACAACTAAGAACTTTGTAGTACTATTGAAGTCATTGTTGAAATGATATAATGTTTCACATAGCTATTATTTACCGGGATTTATGAATTTTATTACCCATAAACTGTGTTTATATTTATAAAATGTTATCGTTAAAATCATGATCTCATTGTTACGTGATTTGCATTATATGCTAACAATGGAGGTTCAAGAGATTTTCTTCATTCACAGGGCACTGTGGTGTTATGTTAAAATCCTGAGACTTTCGGGTAACTTTGGTAAGAAGAACTGGTCAATGCCCGATATATTCCATGAAAATGTAAAGAGACATCCGAACAAAGCATGCTTTCTTTATGAGAACGAGTCATGGTCCTTTAAACAGGTAAAACATATATATTTTTTGTACTTGAATCATATTTAGCAGAAACATTCCGATCTCCACATAATCTAGCATGGTTCTTACGCATACTGCAAAACCGTTTTTACAATGGGATTGCGGCCCGTTAAGAAATTTTTAAAATGTCCGTTCTCTTTTGTATTGATTTTAATTAACCAATAGCTCTCGATGTAACAGTATAATATATAATATATAACAGTCTTAAATGATAACAAAATTAACCTGATGCAAATCTTATTTTTAATCAAAGGCCTATACATTGTACATAGTATTATGAGTTGAATTAATTATGCGAAGAACCTTGAAAACCTTTAACTTACGATATTACTCTGTTACTTTTATAGACCGGTTTTCTTTTCGTTTTTATTTTATTTATTTATACTTATTGTACACAAAAAGAAAATACAATAAAAACGGATTTAAATAATGTCTAAATACTATGTACAAAGGCGAGCTTAACTCATTCATGAGTTTTCTTCCAGCAAACCATTAGCAGAGAGAAATACGATGTATAAGAGGGGAATAGTGTACAATATAAGAGCTATTAAAGCATGATTTTTAAACTAAGCATTAAAAAAAAAAAAACTAATATTAAATGAAAAATACATATAAATAAATATTCAATTTACGTTTTCATACAATTATAAAATATAATTATATAATTATATTTAGTTTAGAATAATAATTTTGCAATCATCAAGTTATGGAGGTAACAATGTTTTTTTTATGGCTTAGATGGGTGGACGAGCTCACAGCCCACCTGGTGTTAAGTAGTTCCTGGAGCCCATAGACATCTACAAAGTAAATTCGCCGCCCACTTTGAGATATAAGTTCTAAGGTCATAAGTATAGTTACAACGGCTGCCCCACCCTTCAAGCCGAAACGCATAACGCTTCACGGCAGAAATAGGCAGAGTGGTGGTACCTACCCACGTGGACACACAAAAGGTTCTACCACCAGTAATTACGCAAATTATAATTTTGCGGGTTTGATTTTTATTACACGATATTATTCCTACACCGTGGAAGTCAATCGTGAACATNAGAAATAGGCAGAGTGGTGGTACCTACCCACGTGGACACACAAAAGGTTCTACCACCAGTAATTACGCAAATTATAATTTTGCGGGTTTGATTTTTATTACACGATATTATTCCTACACCGTGGAAGTCAATCGTGAACATTTGTTGAGTACGTATTTCATTAGAAAAATTGGTACCCGCCTGACATTCGAACACCGGTGCATCGCTCACCCTTCAAGCCGAAACGCATTACTGCTTCACGGCAGGAATAGGCAGGGTGGTGGTACCTACCCGTGCGGACTCACAAGAGGTCTTATCACAAGTAAATGTGTCTGTAAAAATGTCTTTAATTAATTAATTCAAATTATCAATATTAAATTTACCGTAAATTTGAAACGTGTGTGGCCGTAATATTACTAATGAGACTGACGAATGTAAATCTCTAAATAATCTGTGAAAAATTAAATACAGGTCGAAGAATTCAGTCTTCGTGTTACGGCATTACTTAAGAATCATGGTGTGAAACGTGGAGATGTTGTCGGCGTAATGATGAATAACTGTCCGGAATTGCCGGCGACGTGGCTAGGCGTAGCTCGCATGGGAGGCGTGTCGCCTCTCATAAACACGAACCAAACCGGAAACGCTCTCCTCCATTCAGTTAACGTTGCGAAATGTAACGTTGTGATATACGGAAGCGAGTTTCAGAGTGGTAGGTACATAAAATACACAGATCAGACAATTCAGTTCATAATCTATACAATATATAATAGGTTGGTTATCAGCTTCTTCAAAAATGGTTCGGTTTCAATACGTCGTAATAAAGAATCACAAATTAGTACACGGCTCATTAGGTTTCTTTCAGGGAGCTCGAGAGGTATCCAAATATCGAGCTTTTTTGTGTACCCAGTTTTTTTCAAATGCGCCAAAACTGTTTTGTGGTCAATTCCCAGTTCTTTAGCTACGTCGTAACTACTGATATGCCAATCTTGCTCCACTTTTTCAAAAATGGCATCCATTTTATCCGTAATAGGGCGACCAGAGCGACGTGCATTTTTGACATCAAAATTTCCGGATTGAAAACGCTTAAACCAAATTTGTGCTACTCTCACAGACACTGCATAAACAACGCAATTTTTTTTCGCGGCTTGCGTTGCATTTTTACCTTTTTTGTAGTAAAATTTTAAAATGTATCGAATTTCTTGATTAGATTCACTCATCTTGACAGTACGAAAAATAAATAAAAATCACACATTCTCCTAATTTGAATTTGGAATTATCTTCTTTAAAATTTAAACTTTTAATGATACCAAAACCAGCCACATACAAATAGTATAGCCAAAGAGATTTTATTACAAGTTCATACATAATATAAAGCGAAAAGACTTTTTTCCCAACTTATTATATACTAAAATTAATCAAGTTGATTGTTAATTAATCTTGATCTATTCATTTCAGCATTCGATGAAATATCAAATGAAATAAATCCAGCAATAAAACTGTATAGATACAACCGGAGACCTCTAAATGCATCAGGTGATGCTGTTAGGGTTGTAGAATCGGAAAACGATTTCACTCATATGTTGGAGACTACACCTCCTGCCCCGTGGAGTCTTTCTGAAGGAGAAGGCTTCACCGGAAAACTCCTATATATATACACGTCAGGGACTACTGGACTGCCCAAAGCAGCAGTTATATCTCCGTCAAGGTAATAAAGGAGTAACTTTCAAACTCGCGTTACTGGAATGTTACCTTTTTTATTGCTTAGATGGATGGACGAGCTCACAGCCCACCTGGTATTAAGTGGTTACTGGGGCCCATAGACATCTACGACGTAAATGCGCCACCCACCTTAAGATATAAGTTCTAAGGTCTCAAGTATAGTTACAACGGCTGCCCCACCCTTCAAGCCGAAACGCATAACGCTTCACGGCAGAAATAGGCAGAGTGGTGGTACCTACCCACGTGGACACACAAAAGGTTCTACCACCAGTAATTACGCAAATTATAATTTTGCGGGTTTGATTTTTATTACACGATATTATTCCTACACCGTGGAAGTCAATCGTGAACATNAGAAATAGGCAGAGTGGTGGTACCTACCCACGTGGACACACAAAAGGTTCTACCACCAGTAATTACGCAAATTATAATTTTGCGGGTTTGATTTTTATTACACGATATTATTCCTACACCGTGGAAGTCAATCGTGAACATTTGTTGAGTACGTATTTCATTAGAAAAATTGGTACCCGCCTGACATTCGAACACCGGTGCATCGCTCAACACGAATGCACCGGACGTCTTTATCCTTTAGACCACGACGACTTCAAAATTATTACGTTTACCTATACGTTTCATTTTTTAATTGTGGCATATTTGCAGGATGGTGTTCATGGCATCGGGCGTACATTATTTAGGTGGATTGAGAAAAAACGATATAATGTACTGTCCAATGCCTTTGTATCATTCAGCTGGAGGGTGTATTTCAGTTGGTCAGGCCTTCATATTCGGGTGTACTGTAGCTTTGAGAGCGAAATTTTCGGCGTCTGCATATTTCCCGGATTGCATTAAATTCAAAGCAACGGTAAGAATTAATACTAAATCAACTGGTTTTACTATTATTAGTGGTCCCGCAGTAGTCGAAATTCGATTATAATTAATTGAAATTATAAGTTTCAACATTATTATGGTCTTATGGTTACAGATTTCGACAAGACTACACTATAGACAAATACTCGTAATATTAAAGATAAACAATAGTAACTTATTCTCAATTTGAAGACACTTACAGACTTTAAGCAATAACAAAAGTTTGACAATAAACAAAGAGTATATGTGTGTGTCAAATACATGGTAGTGTGTGTAATGTTTTCTTTATTGATCTAATGTATTTTTAATCCATAATTTAAAAAGAATATTAGCATTCTGCACTTCTTCTCTCTATTCTCTATAAGTTGGAAAATTTCATATTCCTCCGTCCGCGCAATTTTTGTATAAAGGGATACAAAGTTTTTGCTTCACGTACTAATATATAAATACTGTCGATATACTAGGATTAGATGATTTAACTGTTATTGTACAATTAAGCTCTTAATTCGTTATAAAGAGCGTGATTACTCACACAAAACAATCTGACACTACAACATTTTTTAATGCAATTTTTCTTTGTATTTGTTAATTTTATGTTAAACAGACAACAAATGTTCTAGATTTAATCCTAGTTTACCTTTGGAAATTTACGAAAAATCGCTTACGATTTGGTATTTTCATTTACTTTTTACGATTCGTAAACATTAGTTAAAATTACTTTGGCGGTTTTATTTTTCCTTATGTTACGAATCGCATCTGAGACTCGTTATATTAAAAAACACATCATTATGCCGTCATACACTCGTTAAATTTTCATATTGTTAATTTAAAGCTTAGAGTCAGTAAAAAAACCACAGGCATATTTTTAATGTCAGTGTTGATAAACCTGTAGAGTAACTTGAAAATGTTCTCAAGCGAGAGCTAAGTGAAAGCTAATTCACACATTTTTGAGGCCTGTAAATCCAGCTTATTTCACAACGCAATAAACATGAAAGGTGTAAGTATGAGATTACATTGAGATTGAGAGTCAATTCAATAAGCAAACTAATAAAAAGTAAAAATAGTAAAAATGCATGTGAATAACAGCAGTGTTTTATGATTAAACTCAATGTGATCTTCATTTTAGTCAATGGCTTTATATTATTAGAATGTAAAATTACGCACTTGTAATTTTACAAAGTAAAAATTCAAAACAAAAAGTCTAGTTTGATACTGAAAATGTAAAAACCCACAAAAACACGTCATTGCGACTATAATTTCAACGAAAATGTGACCATTTTAAAATATATTACTGGAAGGAAATATTTAAAGTTTCGAACATTGCTACATAAGCTGTCTCTGTATCTGTAGTTATCATAGAACATAAGATATTTGGTAAACACCTGTTAGCGTTATTTTAAATTAGTTAAGGTTTATTAAATTCATTAATTGTTTTTGTACAAATTACGAACTGAAAATAAATACACTTTGATTTGCATTCACAGGCCGCTCACTACATTGGGGAGATGTGTCGGTATATCCTAGCAACACCTCCGTCCGCAACTGACAGGCAACACAAAGTTCGAACCGTATACGGCAATGGAATGAGGCCAACCGTGAGTATGCATTTCATTAACAGGCCATTCGACATATTATCCTGACTGCGTTTTCAAATTTTATTAATATCATCGGTTTGCAATACACTTCGAAAATGAACTCCATTATTTAGTTAAATATTGAAATGAAACTCTTTATTTAGTTAAATATTGAAATGATTTTCATTTCAATATTTAACTAAATAAAGACTTTATCAAGTACACAGGTGACCCGAAATGTTTCTTAGAGCCCTTAACCTACAAACGTTTATAACGTAGCCTAGTTTAATTCATCTAATTTACACTCCCTTCCTCTCGTTAACCTCTTTTAGGGGAAAGAGGGTCAAATATACATTTCATTTACCTCGGGTTACACGATAAGTTTACACTAACAGCTTTATCAAGAAATCTACTGGCGTGACCATTTATGCGTGACTTTGAAAGTAGATCTAATAAGATTTCTGTTTGTAGGCCGAACAATATTAAAAGTTTCGCAATAGCACCGTACTTAGAAATCTAATAACTACAGCTCATTAGTTCGTAGTTCGTGTCCAATAAAAGTTTAATTATAGCGACTAGTATAGTAAATATACAAGTAGGAATCATGTCTACTACAGCCCTATTTCTGCCGTGAAGGGCAGTAATAGGCTCTTGACTTAAGGCCTGTGGTGGCATTTACGTTGTTTAGATCTATGGGCTCCGGTAACCTTTAAAACTAGATGGGCGGTGAGCTCGTTCACCCATCTAAGCAATAAAAAAAGTATAATAACGTAAATACACAATTCTTTGAATTCGTTGCCGGCTGACATCCGAGTTTGCAAGTCTGTTTCTGTTTTTAAATACAAGGTCAAACAATTCTATCTCTCATCAACCGAATGATCATTGTTCTATAAGTACTCTTCGTATATACTGTGTTACTTATAATATTTTGTATTCAAGTTTTACAATATTAGCTTTGTGTATGTGCATTACTATAATTCTCATATTGTATTTGTTATTTTAGCTGTTCTACACACACTCATCACTTTTAATTATTATTCTCATAATCCTCTCGCAGGTCTGCTGGAAGAGATTTCTTAAAGAAATAAGCAGTGCCTTTGTATATAATTTTCCTATTACTCTGTACTGTGTCTTCTTTTTTGTGTGTACATAAATAAATAAAATAAATAAGTACAAATGATATCAGAAATAAATCGAATATAAATTTTCATAGCTTAAAATCTTTTAGATCTGGACAGAATTCGTTAAACGCTTCAACATCAAACGTGTCGTCGAGTTTTATGGCGCAACAGAAGGCAACGCAAATATCGGTAGGTAGTCGTTGTAAATATATTTATATACTAGCGACCCGCCCTCGCTTAGCTTCGGAAACATTAAAACACATGAAAAAAAAAAATAATTAAAAAAAGTAGCCTATGTTCATCAGGGACAATGTCGGCTTCTAATGGAAAAAGAATTTTTCAAATCGGTCCAGTAGTTTCGGAGCCTATTCGAAACAAACAAACAAACAAATCTTTCCTCTTTATAATATTAGTATAGATATAGATATACACCTTAATAAAGTATTCGAAAGTGTCTTGATACCGAAAGAGACATGGATGAAGTGTGTGCGTTCTCTAAAACAAATTAATAGAAGATTCGTGAAGATAAAAAAATATACTGCCAATTATATTATTATATGAATCAGGTCGATTTTTGCGATATAAATCTGAGAAAAGCTGCTAATAAGAATAAAAATATTTCCTTTTAAACAAACTTATGAGATGTATACAATTTCCCTGTGGTGTTGGCACTAAGTGCAGCTTGGTTCGCACAATACCAACATACGGTTTCCTAATAATATATACCATAGAAATGGCGGATCCAGGGGGGGGTCATGGGGGTCATGACCACCCCCTGAGCTGGTTCCAGGACTTAGGTGGACCACTAATTGAATATAATGATTTTATTTATATATTTTGTCACCATACAGATTTTATGTAACTACATACCTTCAATATTTAATTAATTTAATATAATAATATAATAACTTTGTATAATGGCAAACGCTTGGGAACGAACGCATCTAAATTTGACTATGTGACCCCCTCCTGGCGCCAAAGCTGGATCCGCCTTTGTACCATAGATATATATCTGTGTTTATCACACTTATGAGATACAGTTGGAACTACGAACTATGAACTTTGCCGACCGTGTGTGTTAATAAAGATTTAACCACAGGTCGACAGAGAACTTTCCAAATAAAATAATCAAGATGAATTTACCAAGACTGTATCAATTTTTATGTCTTATCGATAGGGAGTTTTATCACGGAATTAACATTGGAAGCAAGTAGTCAGGGAATCGTTTAGCAAAGGTGAAACAGATGCAGGGAACAGGGAACTAAAAAATAGGACATTTACTCAAAATTGTATTATCAGAGGTATAATTTTATTCTCAAAGGTGCCCGCAGGATTAACAGTTGGCGAACGTAGAATAATTTTCATTCTATATAAAGTTTGTTTGCACTGTACGTGACTGATTTTCGTAACATTACGTTAAGTAAAGAGAGAGACGACTCGTTGCGCTGTCTCTCGAACAAGCATAGTGTTTTCATTAGCACTACTCCAGACTGGTGGTAGGACGTCTTGTGAGTCCGCACGGGTAGGTACCACCGCCCTGCCTATTTCTGCCGTGAAGCAGTAATGCGTTTCGGTCTGCAGGGTAGGGCAGCCGTTGTAACTATACTGAGATCTTAGAACTTATGTCTCAAGGTGGGTGGTGCATTTGAGTTGTAGATGTCTATGGGCTCCAGTAATCACTTAGCACCAGGTGAGCTGTGAGCTCGTCCACCCATCTAAGCAATACAAAAAAAAAGGCTGCTATTGAATATGACAACTGATGGATTAACGTAACCGCTAGTCAACACAGTAGGGCATAAAAATACAACAGCTGAAAACCGGTACACGAATACGCGTACTTTCGTTGCTAATAATAAATACATATTCACTAAAAATATGAATAGTATGCTAAGGAAATGTATCTTCGTGTGTACGTTTAGCATACAGAGTAAAATCGCATTTAATAATAAAAGAAACTATAACATAAGAAACCAAAAAACGCGCTTTTGTTGCTAGCTGAACTAAAAAATCCGAAAATAATATTCAATAAGCCCAAACAAATAATATCGTGCTATGCGTCATGATAATCGCCTTATCGTTGCCGCCGCTGACTAATCCCCGAATCCTGATCACGCAGGAGAATGACCTTTGCATTAGCGGCATTCAGCTCTAACACTAGGCTTAGGGCAGGCTTAGGGACCCCGGTAACCGTACTCATCGAACTCGACAAAGAGGTCGACGTGCAACCTAACCCATGAATCAGCTCGCTGAGTTTCTCGCCGGATCTTCTCAACGGGTCGCGATTCCGATCCGGTAGTAGATTCTTCGCGAAGCAGCTGCTCTTGAGTTGTTAGGTCTCCTTCGGAGGCGCTCGGGCAGCTGTTAGCAAATCCCACTCCGAGCCTTTGCTCGCTCGCCCACGTGTCCTGGTGAAACTGGAAATACCTCTGGGCCACAAGTAATCCTTCAATCCTAAAAAAAAAACGTAAAAAAGCGTGGGATTTTATCGGAAAAAAATTACGTTGGAAGGATTGCGACGTTGAAGTGGCAGGGGGCAGGCTAGATTGCTCGTAGAACGAATGACATCTGAATCTGAATAAAAATGTTCAAATCTGTAAAATAAAAACCATTAATCCTAATAGTTTAATTATTTGTTTATTAAAAACATAACACGTTCAATGAAAAATGAGATTCTCAATCACCGTTTTTTAATGACACTAGCCTCCAAAACTTTTAGTATTTAAAAAAAAGCTACTAATATCTTACATAAATCTATGGTATCTATCTTTAATTTACACAAAGATCAAAGTCTTATGTCTTGTTTGGATGTTTATTACTCAAAGATGGAAAAATGGCTTAACTATTTTGCATGAAATTTCAGATACATATATTTAAATATGTACAATATACAGACATCTTATACATACAAGTATGTATATGTACATATAAGTACGTACAACGCGTGCATTCCTTGGAGATTTTGTGTATAATACAAACAGATCTACTAAATTACTGGTAGTTATTTGGACCAGGAAGTGACACAAGCAATTATTTATCCCGGAAAAATTCAACGAGTTTCATTCTTTCTGAGTTATAAATTCAGCACGAATGAAACATCGGGCCACAGACATTCAATAATTAAAGGGGATGGCCCATTTTAGGCCCAAAGCGGACAATAGATTAGAGAAAAAATACTTAGTGCATTAATTTTGTCATAAATAAATATGCATTTACTTTCTTCCAAATAAGCGCCACTACAGTTTACAATAAGTAGTTTAAAAAAAGTAACTCTATTGAAAAAAACAAGAATTTTATTTTTGCGGGAAAAATATTGCCAACTTCAAAACCTTTTACGTATTAAGTAAACATTTTAAGTATATAAAAAAACATATAAATAAATCATTTTAAATATTATCATTAATCAATCGATTTTAATCGATTTTAAGCACATAAAATAACATCAAAGACATACCCATTGGACTTTAACTTGTTACTATACTTGAGACCTTAGAACTTATATCTCAAGGTGGGTGGCGCATTTACGTTGTGGATGTTTGTGGGCTCCAGTAACCACTTAACACCAGGGTGGCTGTGAGATCGTCCACCCATCTAAGCAATAAAAAAAAACTTAACTTGTATTGTTATTTAAATATGTACAACTAAAACAAAAACATAAAAAATAAAATATAATGTGTACTCGTAAAAAAAAGATTAAGAAATAAATCCAATATCGGTTATTTAAAAAAATGATCGATATATGAATTTCATGTAATTATTTTTCTTTATACTGACAACACTGATTTTAATCTGACTGACTGACACTTCGCTTGCTGCTTGTGCTTGCGTTCAAAATGGATGTGTTTTGATTTTTCTTCGATTTATTTTGCTTTTATCAATAACGTTTCATACTACGGCTGAAAACCATTGTGTGAATTGTGGTTTTAACCTGACCGAGATTTAAAACCGTGTATATGCTCTCCTGTGCTATTTTTAGATGATTTACTAATTGTGTATGAAGATGAAGAAAATATAGAATAATATAGATATTTAAAGAAGTATGTGTGTTTTTTATACCCTAATAACTACAATTGGATAAAAATACATTAGGAACATCTTAAACATTAAAAAAAGAAAAGTTCTTGAGGTATTTATATAGAAAATTAACCTCAAAACGAGTTTTTTATTTTTATTATATTTTTTATAATAGTGGCGTCAATTTCAATATATTTTTTAGATATCTAATACATTTAAGAATTTGAATCAGTCCATTTTTATAGTAATATTTAATGTCCACCTTGGGCCTAGCACACTATGGAGAGTGGGCAATCCCCTTTGTAATGTAATATAAATTATATTTGGCCATATAAATGGGAATATCTTTCTAGACATCTGAAGTATAAGGTCGGATATACTTTTATAAAAACCGCTTTTATACAGGTTCGTTCATACGAGTTTTAATTTTTTTTGGGTGTCTCGACCTTCTATTTAACGGCCTCGCCGCAAAACCTTATATATATATATATCATTAACCATTGAAAGAAACATTTTCGTAAAAATATACACACACATCTGTAGGAGTGATAGTCTAGATTAGATAGAGATAGTCTAGAGTCTAGACAATTTTTTTTATTTTGGGTCCCTAATAGCTCTACTATTAGGTGTTTCAAGATTATCCATTCTTTCTGGGACACCCTGTATACAGTACATGTTGTAATAAATTTTGGGATATTATGAAATGAACGAATTTATTCACTTCCAGTAAACATCGACAACAAGACAGGTGCAATAGGATTTGTATCGAGAATCATTCCCGCAGTTTACCCGATAGCGATTCTCAAGGTTGATCAAGAAACTGGCGAACCAATCAGGAATTCCAAAGGACTTTGCCAGGTATTGTATTTATAATGAATTTATTTAATAAACTCTGACTAGGACTAGCATAAAATACTACTAGTTGCAAGCTCCTAAACGATATAGCTTAAATTTTTATATACCTAAGGCGTATTGTATTAAAAGTGGACAATGTTGTTAATACCGTTATCGATGATGGATGACCGACCAGTGTGCTTAGTTCTAGTTTTATTAACGTTCTAGATAGCGTAAAAGCTAACTCATATTTGTATGCAATTGAAACTGCGCTTCTAGCGGCAAACGTGCAACTCCATACAAATTTGAGTTAACTTTTACGCTATCGAAAACGTTAAAAACTCGCAGCACACTGCTAACATTGCTCAAGGTCTACCCTTTTGAAGGATAGAAAGTACAACGTAAATACCACTGCCCATTTTGAAATTTGAAACATATTTCTATTGAAGCATGTAACGGCTATTCTACTCCTCAAACCGGAGAACGGTAGCACCACTCCTTAGGTGCTCAGAATGCGCTATAACACTATTACATAAAAATGTAATTACAAACAGAGCCAATTTGCTAAATTAGGACACTGTTACTGTAGGAATAAAGGAAATTTGAACTCGTCTTGGCCTAATAGATAAGTCGCTCTCTGTACTGATATTGACCGTAGAGGTAACAATTTTTGTCATGAAATACATACTTGATAAATTTTCACGATTTATTGCTACGTTAAAAGATTAATATGCAATAAAAATAAAACTCGCAAAAATATATTATTTGCGTAATTATTAGTGTTAGGACGTCTTCTGAGCACGCACGGGTAGGGACTACCACCCTGCTTATTTCTGCCGTGAAGCAACAATGCGTTTCGGTTTGAAGTGTAGGGCAGCTGTTATACTGTAAAAACTGAGACTTAGAACTCATATCCACTTCGATAAAGTGGCACGACACGAGAACCCTCTCATCGTGGCCGCCGGTAACTACATTCCCGATCCTGCGGACAGAGTGGAAAGCAGTCGACGTCGCCCAAAACATGTCATTTCGGATCCTCCCGATCCACTAACAGTGCTTTTAGGTACCTCAAGCACCGGTCATCGTTCTCGTCGAACCCGTCTCTTGCGACGAAGGGCTTGACGAGTAAATTAACTCACAGACACACCCCACTGAGTTTCTCGCCGGATCTTCTCAGTAGGTCGCGTCTCCGATCCGGTGATAGATTCTGCGAAGCACGGCTCTTGCTAGGGTTCGTGTTAGCAACTACGTCAGGTTTGACCCCGTGAGCTCACCTACTAGTTAAGGTTACGCTGAAATAGCTTCTCAAGGCTATCAGCTTAGGTAGGAAAGAAAAACTCATATCACTAGATGGGCAGCGGCGTTAGTGTTGATGTCTGTGGGCTTCGGTGACCACTTAACACCAGGTGTGCCGTGAGCTTTTTATAAGGAAATAAGTTCTTAACACGTGTTCAGGAATGCTGAAGAACATCGTGTACATTTTTTTTGTCTGCTACAAAAAAATATGAACCTTAATTACCCAGCAGTCATTGATGAATTACGATTCAATAAAATGTTAAAAAAAGTGCTACGAATGCAAAATCAATATTTCGAAGGCGGCGTCGTGTAACCTTAAATATCAAATCTTTATAAATATTCTCATACTTTTCCATCCAGCTAGCAAAGCCGTATGAGCCAGGAGTATTTATTGGCAAGATTAAACCTAACAATCCATCAAGGGCGTTCCTGGGTTACGTGGACAAAGAAGCATCTGAGAAGAAAATAGTTAGAGACGTATTTAACATCGGCGATTCTGCGTTTATATCAGGTTCGTTTAATTTTTATTCTAATGTACAAGGTAGTGTGTGTGTCGTAACGTTTCATTTTTGATAGCGATCTGAAAAAAAAAACATCAATCAGTCTTCTTAGATTGTTTTGCGAATTTGAATCTTACTGCAACTATTATAGTTGTGATTTTTTAATAATTGAGAAAAGTTGTAAGAACAGAATGTCTGCACGTTCTATCAAAATATCTAAAGGTCACTATCATGAGTGTTTAACGTAGCATTGGCATCGAGCATGTGTTAGGGAGTGAACTAAAATCTATATCGTCAATCGGATCACCATTTCCTTTTTTATTGCTTAGACGTGTGGACGAGCTGATGACCCACCTGGGGTGAAGTGGTTAGCGTGGTTAGTCTATAGACATCAACAACGTAAATGCGGCCACCCACTTTGAGATATAAGTTCTAAGGTCTCAGTATAGTTATAACAGCTGCCCCACCCTTCAAACCGAAACGCATTACTGCTTCACGGCAGAAATAGGCAAGGTGGTGGTACCTACCCGTGCGGACTCACAAAACGTATTATCGCCAGTAACTACGTAAATAATATACATATAAGCGGATTTTTTTTAACTACACAATGTTATTGCTTCAGCGTGGAAGTCAATGGCGAACATTTGTTATGTACGTATTTCATTAGAAAAATTTGGTACCCACCTGCGGGATTAAATTACAGGCTTAGTCGCATCAATCGATACGAATGCACCGGGCGCTTAGCCTTTAGGCCACGACGACTTCTAAAAATAACCAAAATAAGCTGTGAACCCGCATGGATAGATATCACCACGTTGCCTATTTCTACCGCGAAGCAGTAATGTATTCCGGTTTGAAGGGCAGGACAGCCAGGTTGGCATCGCAGGTGGCGGCGATCCTCCGCTTATTCAATATATAAAAATATATCTTTGACAAATGAGTACTAGTTTCTCTTTACTAGTATTTTAGTACTAGGTTTTCTTTTTAGTAAATATTCTTTAATATATATTTCTAGGTGACATCCTGGTGGCGGACGAATTAGGTTATCTGTACTTCCGCGACCGCACTGGAGACACGTTCCGGTGGCGCGGAGAGAACGTCTCCACCACAGAGGTCGAGGCGGCCGTGTCTAGATGTGCCAATCAAAGGGACGCTGTAGTCTACGGTGTAGAGGTATAAGTTTATTAGACAATGTGAATATGAATAATATTTTTTTAGCAAGGCAAGAGTTGCCCCGTAACATTCAAGACGTATTAAGGCCATTACGTAAGGCCAGTAATCTGGACAGACTAATTTTGTACTACCACATGCTTTTAGAACTCAACTATTTTCTTCGACTATTAGGGTTTAAAAAAATAGAATACTGTGAAAGTCAATGTGTCCTTTAATATTATACATAAAATTATAACCCCGTTAAATAATAAGCAAAGCCATAATATAAAAATATAATAGGTAAATAATAGTTTTCAACTATCGGTAATTAAGGTGAAAAAAATGTGTAAATTAAAAGTCTTCCTATATTTTTTAAGTAATTTATCACCGTTTACTAAACTCTAATTATGATTTCGGGAAATATAAATCTGAAATTCGATTTCTGAAAAATCAAAACATCTGAAATAACCTTCAAATAAAAAATGTCCACAGATTCCGAATACGGAAGGTCGGGCTGGCATGTGCGGCATAGTGGACATTGAAGGCACGTTGGACCTGGATAAACTCGCCAAAGATATTGCGAAAGACCTGCCTAAATACGCGAGGCCAATATTCATTAGAATAATGACCAGCGTTGATATGACAGGTGAGTGTTCATTAAAATATTTAACATTCATGTCGCGCATCATACGAATAGAATATGGTTGATTCAACTAGATTGAGTGCAGTCAAATATTAAGCGTATTATCTATGGTGCAGTCTAGTTAAGTTTAAAAAATAGCTAAGGGGAAATAGATAATAATTATGCTGTACTAACATTTATTTATACATTTATTCATACAAATAGATAAATGATAATGGATGTGCACATCTTTTGACATCTATACCCAATAACATAATTTGATTTCAGGAACATTCAAAATGAAGAAAGTGGATTTACAAAAAGAAGGTTATAATCCATCAACTGTGAGCGACAAAATGTTCTTCTTTGAACCAAAACAGAATAAGTACGTGCCCTTAGGAGTTGAAGAATACGAAAAGATTATATCTGGTGAAATTCGGCTATAATTTTTTGTTACGATTACAAGTGGACATTTGTTTTAATTGTATATTGATAGATAAATAATTTGTAATATGTAGTGGGATTATAACTGAATATTGTATGTGAATTGAATGTTAAACATACCTATCTGAACTACTGCATTTTTGCTTTTTATTTATTACAATTATAGTTCGGTCAATATAATCATAATGTGCAGATTTTCATACATATTTTCATATTTCTTCTATAGCTCTCACATTTTTTTTAAAAGTTTGAAATATTTATAATTTCGATAGTCAACTTTAAATTCATATACCTAATTTAAAGGAAGTGCAGACAGTTGTATTGTCAAAGACAAGTCATAATGGTTTGCTTAGAGTACCATAATTTCAAAATTAATCCATGAAATGATTGTTTCATTGATTGTATGATTGTATCTGTATACGATGCGTATCCGTATACGATTGTATCCATCCAGCTAAGTAATTGAATGATCTACCCGTGGTCGTAATATACTATTCAGAAGAATATTGCCAACAATTGTTTAGCCTAAGAAACGAACTAGACGCCAGTACTTATATTAGTATAGTTTTGGGTCAATTAATTTATTGATTTGTAAAAATTTGTGATAATAAATATAAAGTTCCATTTAATTTTATATATTATTTGTTATTTACATTAAGAAAGTAACTGTAGTATTTTTTTATATATTAAAGCGTGGAATTTAAATTGTTTCCAGTGAAATTTTACCTGATAAAAAATAAAGTTTCAAACTTTTTTAGTTTTTTACTAAATACAATTATGCCACCGCCGCCCACCTTTAAACTTACTTAATAATGCTACATACTTCAAACCACAAAGATTTATTGTTTCGTGGCAGAAATAAGCAGGAAGGTGTGTCGCCGGTAACCGAATAAACAGTCGGATTCTCCCGATAAACTATCGGCATTTTAGGTACTACAAGCATCGGTCATCGTTCTCGTCGAACCCATCGCTTGCGACGAAGGCGAGCAAATTAACCCACAGACAAAGCCCAATGACTTTCTCACCGGATTTTCCAGTTGTGGTAGATTCTACGAAATACTGCTCTTGCTATCAACCTGAGGACGTTACTAATACCAGCCTTAGGGCTAATATTAGCAAATTCGCCTTGTTAGAGCCGCGTGATCTCAAATACTCGCCCGGTAAGGCCGGCGTAACCGTCTAGGTTACCAGATTAGGTTAGAAAATAAAAGGAAGGTTCCTTATCTATACTATCCATTTGGATTAATAATACCAGCTTCTTGGAATTGAATTATAATGTATTAGCTTATAAGTTAGAATCAAATTTGAACCCTGGCATTGCTAAACTGTTCGATTTTAGTACATTGGATAATTTGTACCAATTAATTCCTTGTGTATAGACCAATCATGGGTAAATCACATTGAAAAAGTAATGAGGCAAAAGGTGGAAGCTGGTTTCAGTATCTCAATTCCAAAATTGTTACATGTCAGCGTAAAAGTGGCCTAAGCTTACCATAGTTAGTATGGAGATAATGAGGTATGAATGTACTTTTACATGGCTTCGTAGCCAAAAACAATTCGCGAATAAATAATGTTTACAAAGCCATCTGTTATTTATGTGTGAAACTAGGGATAAACGGTTTTTGCATCGAAATTTATTATGTTTTAAATAAATTGCAATATATAAGCACGAATATGAAAAATGTGGGCTAGGCCACTTTTACGCTGACGGCCAACACTTATTATGCTATAATGCCGAAATCGTCATCATTGATATTTACTATGGAGAGTATCTATATTAAAAACTATCCGCTGAAACGGAGCCAGTTATAGTGGCGCCATACCAGTAGCAAGTGGAAAGATTTAAACTACGCAATAAACCATTAGAGTAGAATACTATATTTTGAATAAAATAAACACTTCCTACGTAAATAGCAAATAAAAATAGGTAGTTGAGTTTTTAAATACTGCATATTTTTTAACTATAAAAGTCATGAAAAATATTAAATTTTTCAACCCAGCACACTTCATTATGTTTAAAACTGCTATATTCATATCATTTCCATTTCCTTCACTAGCATTGTGTCGCTGAGTCTTCCAACAATAACTTACTGTTCTGTTTACAGGTGGACACTTTTTAAACTTGTCCCCTATACAAGATCACCATTTAAGCATGGTATCGGCTGAAATTCTTATGGAGTTGGAACGTTTGCCGCTAAGGGCGCTGTTCCAACTGAATACAAATTTGAGTTAACTTTTACGCTATCGAGAACGTTAAAAAACTCGCACTAAGCATACAGTTCTAATAAACAGTGCGTTTGAAAAAGTTGACAGTTGGTGGGTCGCGTGCGAAGAAGTTAGCATCAATGAAAGTAGGTATAGGAAAATGAATCAAAGTCGCGAGATATATCGAGTTCTTTCAAAAAGTCCATTGAACTCTTCCAGAATCATTACTTCATCTTTGTTTTTTGAATAAGTTCCATTTAATTTTTGCACAACAGATATGACTTCTAACAAAAAATTTGGGTTTATGAGCATTGTTTCTTTTGCCTGTCCTATTGATAGTGTTGACATTTTATGACAGTTGACACTAACGATGCCCGGTTACAAAATTTGTCATCAACAATTTGTGTGGTTTTTATAAACTAATCGATTTTTCACTGGTTTATTTTGCCTGTCAGCTGTAGATAAGTTTACTTAGGGTGAAGCAATAATTAATAAACCGAGGAGAATAAAGAAAGCTCGCAATATCGCAAAAAAATATACTTTAAGACGACGAAGCAAATATTTATTAAGAATTGTGTTCAATTTTTAAAAGATTTTCCAGCCATTGTCGGCTTAAAACCGGCTTTCTCCGATGATAGGCACACCGGTTCATCACTAGTTGACTTTTGATTGACATTATTTGTAAATAGTCCAGAATGAGAGACTTTTTGGCGGTTTGTTTCATGTTTCTTCAGGTTTGAATGTGTTATAACGGTGGTTTAGTAACTATTTAGTATCTGTGAAAGTGCGCAAATGTGAGAAAATGCAACAAAATCCTCCAAAAAGTCCACACCAAAAGTATCAGTAAATAATTACCATTTCATTGAGATTATATTTAATCCCTTATCATCTCATCTCATTTAATTTCCTGCTAATTGATTAATGTTTCGAACTAATCAACTTCATTTCACTTCATAATATTATTTTTCATAAAAGAAAAAATATTAAAGATTAGGCTTTATGGTATGATATCTTTGCCTTTCTAGCTAAAAATAGAACTACTACTTCATGAATGACAGTTGACAGCTTTTTTATTTCACATAATGCCATTGTCGTAATTATGTTTTTACTATCTAATTATCTAACTTATGTACCTACACAAAAACTATTGCCTCGATTAATATAAATTATACTGTAATTACCATTTTTATACAACATATAAACAATTTAGTTAGAGTAGTAGTTAGCTAGGAATTCATAGTCCATAATTGACTTTCTATTTTGAAACTACTTTTTTGAAGTATTTTGAATTAGTATTCTGATTATTTCAATTCAAAGTAAATGTGATTTCGGTCAGATTAAAATGTTCGAGAAATCCAAATTATAACGTGTGCTATATGATATAATAATCTACCGTTAGATGAATTCACTTTTTTAAAGAACAAAACAATAAACAAGATTGTATGATAAAACTGTTAGGCGCTACGCAGCGCTGCGTTTCGAACTTGCTTTCCACAGGTCGTCGCTCTTCAGTTCGTCGCCTCTCGTTACGAAAGTTAGTCGCGACGATGATAGCCCTTGCCGTCGCCGCCGGTGTGTTCGCAGCCGCTTGGCTCAACATAGGTTTCTATTATTCTCTCACAGCTTCCGTGCTTCTGGTTGTTCTATATTTGATACTCGTTCAGAAAAAATTCTGCTACGTGGCGATAAAAACGATTCCACGGGATGTAAAGTAAGTTGTATAAACAAAAAAAAAATTATAAGCCAATGGAATAAAGTTTTAAAAAATGACATTTTAGATATAAATATTGCATAAAAATCACACTTCCGCTTTATTTTTTTAAATTTATGAGTGAAACGATCTAAATAAACAAACAAAGTAAAAACACATTAACACATTTTTTTCAGGGCATTATACACATACATACAGATATTATGGATAACTCGAAAGTTCAGCAAGTTGAATCTCACTGTACCAGATATATTTCATGACACAGTGCAAAAGCATCCAGATAAAGCATGTTTCTTATTCAAGGATGAAGTATGGACATTTAAAGAGGTTTGTAAGCCTATTTGTTAAGAAAAGTTTTTTACAGAAATTGTTTTTATCCAATCAGTATTTGTTTTGCTGTCATGCATGTCACCCAGTTTTTTTTTGTTGGTTAAATCCATGTTTTTTTAGTAATTATCATTAACTTAAAAACCTGGTGATAGCTTAAAAAAAGTGATTCTTCTTATTTTATCCAATGACATATTATTTTGTAAATAAGGTAGATTTCCTCTTAACACAATGATAAAAGTTATCACATAACATTAGTCAATGATAAGCCGTCCTTTGATTTCAATATACAACACTTAAACCACATAAAAAGTTTTCAAATTTGAAAACTACCAGACCACAGTGACTTGTCATATGCATGTGCACAACTTTAGAGGCAGTATGTACAAACTGTCTGTTAAACAAGTAACAAAACTTTCACTACAGACATCAGCTCACTACATTAAGATACAACTTTAGATTCCTCATAAATGTATTATTGTTTCAATATGGATAAGTACAGTGTGAAGCATGTTTAGTTTTATTTTTGGTAATTATAAATCTAAACAAGTTTAACATTGTATGATATTGTATTGTATGTTAGGTGTTGTGTTTAGTGATAGTGATCTGATGAGCGCCATTCCAGGGTCCATTTTGATACCTGCCTTACAGCAGTGGATAATTCAGGGTGCTTGCTGAGCTATTAATGTCGAACAAGAAATGTGAATTTGACACTTCTAATACATATCACAATGATCACAAATACTTTATGGCATCAAAACCATTTTTCATTCAAAGTTTTATTGTTTTATTCCTACGTAGTCACAGTAGTTCAGAAGTTTCTGCAAAGTACATAAACTAATCTAAAAACGATAATTGTTATAATGACAATAATAATTTGGAAGTCAGAGCTTATGTTTTATTTGTTCTGTATTTATGAAAAATACATAGAGGCACAGACTGTTGAAAAAAAAACGTGAATTTTTCATTACTCTGTATGAACATACAAGGTCATGATGTTTCTCATGTTCGATGGTCTGGAGCCGATAGACACAAATTAAATGCCACTGCCCGAATGCTTAGTGTATGATTGCTTCACGGCAAAATCAGCCACAATGGGGATCTCACGATTTTCTTTTCCATTTTGGGGTTGGTTTACTTTATTATACGATTTTTACGTCGTGATTCGTGAAAATGTATTGATAGGTTCGGTACGTATTAACCTACAAAAATAGATACCTGCATGTAAGATTTGAACGTGAGCATAATTTCATCACTTGTAAGAACATGGCGGGCATCACTTTAGGCCACAGACAATTAATTCTTTAACATGTGACCAAAAGGACTTTTTGAGATAATTTTGACATTGTTTTCGATTAATATGGTGGAGTAAAGTCCTTTATATTACGAAAAATAAAATAAAATTTCGAAACAAGTTTTATGATGGCGTTTTTTTTTATTGCTTAGATGGGTAGACGAGCTCACAGCCCACTAGGTGTTAAGTGGTTACTGGAGCCCATAGACATCTAGAAGGTAAATGCGCCACCCACCTTATAAGTTCTAAGGTCTCAGTATAGTTACAACGGCTACCCCACCCTTCACCGAAACGCATTACTGCTTCACGGCAGAAATAGGCGGGGTGGTGGTACCTACCCGTGCGGACTCACAAGAGGTCCGACCACCAGTAAAAAGTATGTACATGCACACATAAAGTACACATACACATACATACATATAGGTACATAAAGCTGTGATGTACAATATAAAACTTTGAGGCAGTAAAATAACAGGTCCCTGGGCACGGATCCACCCTACGAGTACTATTAGAGATACAAGAAGTAGAAATAAATGTTAACTAGAATGTGAATAATCTGTAATGATAATATGATTGTATTAACCGTAACCGCAGTGTGCTTAATAGTGGCTTACTAATGAGTTATGCACGTGGAAGTTACGTAATAACCAAGAACGGGTTTGACGGTCATAGTACAACATACGAGACACACTCACTAGAAGCAGACAAGTTTTATGTTACCTTGTTCTGTCACAAATATTGTCTTACGATCATTTTCCTAAGCACAATTTTATAACTTTCGGTCTGGTGATATTCTCATGTACTGATGTAATGAGAAAAATTGCAAAGTATAATGGGAAACAAATCACAATCCTTAATATTTGCCATAGGTACGAAGCAAAATTGTTAAATACCATTCTCCCGTGTCCATCGATTTTCTTTTTTTTTTTTACTTAGTAACTGTTGATAACCTAACTATAATACCATTCTCCCGTGTCCATCGATTTTCTTTTTTTTTTACTTAGTAACTGTTGATAACCTAACTACACTCGGGTGCAATGAAATCGCACATCTGTACATTTTTTGAAAAATATTATTTACTTCTTTTAATTTAAAAAAATACATATATTTTTTAACATAGGGTTAAAGGTTAGTTCAATACCTATTCAATGATACCATATAAGTGGAGATAAGGTTACTTTCTTGAGGAAAATAAAATACAACAACAATTTAATCTTTATTACAAAATGATTACTCAACTAAACCGTTTAAAATTTGGGGATTAATAAAAAAAAACACAAAAAATACTGAAAAATCATTTATTAGTAACAAGTATTGCCCCCTCTTGCCCGAATTACAGCTTCACACCGATTCCCCATCGACTCTATCAAGTTTCTGATAAAGTCTTGTGGCATGGCGTCCCATTCCTCTTTGAGCGCATTTTGTAGCTCCTGGAGATTAGCTGGAGCACTATTTCGACCTCTAATTTTTCTTTTTAATTCGTCCCACAAGTGTTCAATCGGATTAAGGTCCGGGCTCCGAGCTGGCCACTCCATCACGGGTACATTTACTTCTTGTAAGTATTGTCTCACTATCGCAGCGGTATGAGGTCTTGCATTGTCATGCATAAAAAGGAAGTTACTTCCAATTAAACGGCCAAATGGTACGACATGTTCTTGTAGAACTTCCTCTATGTATCGTTGAGATGTTAGACCTCTTGTTTGTCGCCTAATATTGGCCCCAACGATGAAGACAAGCTCTGTTTTTCGTTCGAGTGAGATACCTCCCCAGAACATACACGAACCACCGCCGTATGCTACACGTTCTGTGATGCAACATTGGGAAAATCGCTCTGAGCGCCTTCTGTAGACCCTTCCACGTCCATCATTATCATGAAGACACATTCTGGACTCGTCTGAGAACAGGACTGCTTTCCACTGGTCGGCTGTCCAGTTGACGTGTTCTTGTGCAAATCGAAAACGAGCCCGGCGGTGAGCTGGCGTCAATTTAGGGCCATTTGCTGGCCTATGCGCAGTCAAACCACCTTCGGCAAGTCTCCTTCTGACTGTCCACCTGCTGACTACCACTTCACGCACCTGTTGAAGCTGCTGTGCAAGTTCAACGGCAGTCAAACGACGATTTCGCAACGCTGTCGTTACAAGAAATCTGTTGTCGCGCTGTGTTGTAGCTCTTGCTCGACCAGATCCTCGTCGCCTTTCAAAGCCACCAGTCTCCCGATAGCGCTGGTACACACGACGAACTGAATATCGGCTGATATTCAGTTGTCGAGCTACAGCACTCTGGTTCTGGCCCGCTTCAATTAGAGCGACGACTTGAGCGGCTTTTTCCGGAGTAGTATCCATCTTTTTCAGACAAATGCAATTGGAGTCACTAGAGGTCTTATCAGGTTAAGCGTTGGCTTGCAACTGATGACGTTTTACACAAAACATGCCTTTTTATACCTGCAGTTGGTCTTGCAAACTGCAGTGAGTTGAGGGAGCAATTTTTGGAGTTTGCTGTTGTCGTTTTGTTTCAGCAGGCAGGTAAACTTATCATGTCTTATGTGGTATCATTGAATAGGTATTGAACTATCCTTTAACCTTATGTTAAAAAATATATGTATTTTTTTAAATAAAAAGAAGTAAATAATATTTTTCAAAAAATGTACAGATGTGCGATTTCATTGCACCCGAGTGTATATAATGTCATTAATAAAAAAAAATTTAAATAATTTTCTTTTTTAACTAGCCGTAAGAAAACAAAAATAGAGAATTTTATTAGGAGGTCACATTAAACATAATATTTATTATAATAATAAATATTGTTACGAAAGGTATCGTAGTACAACTTCAACGCCAACATGATAAATATAGTAAATTGATTTGCACCACTGTGAATATGAATTATGATAAAACACAATGAAAATATCTGAGTTAAAAGATTCCACTTAAATAAACGCCAATAGATAGATAACCTAGAGTTGTTTTCGAATAAATTACGAACAGCGTGTGTGATTTATTGAACAAACCAATCAATCAGGTTAGACTTCTTAACGATAAACGTTCATTTTTGGTTAATGTAAACGTTTTATTCATTTAAAGAAACAATGACCGGGTTCATTGAGGTTCAAAGGTTAAAATCTTTTATGCATGTCGTAAATAGTACACTTTTGTTTCATAAAACGGTAATTTATTAATTCTTTCCTGAGTCACGACTTGGCGAACAATAGAATGTTCAGTAAACTTTCTGGTTTTTTTTCCTTACCTATGCTGTTAGCCTTGAGAGGCTATTTCAGCTTCTTCTTAACGTGTGTATGTAGGTGAGCTCACGGGGCTCAAACCGGGAGTGTTGCTAACACTGGCCCCTAGCAACAACAGTGCTTCGCAGAATCTACCATCGGGTCGGAAACGCGACCCACAGAAAATCCGGCGATAAACTCAGTGGCCTGTATCTATGGCTTAATTTACGATTTTCCAATGCACAAGACCACATTGGCCCTCTCCTTCGGGTAATAAGACAGATTTCGCTAAGGCTACACTATAGAAAAACAATATCAATCTATTCTCAATTTGACCACAGACTTTAAACAATAACAAAAGTTTGACAATAAACAAAGAGTCTGTACATATAAATATGTGTTGTGTCGAATACATGGTAGTGTGTGGAATGTTTTTATTACTGATTTTATGTATTTTTTAAGCATAATTAAAAAAAATAGCATTCTGCAGTCTTTCTCTATACCTATCTATACTAATATATAAATCTACAGTGGTTTTTACGGATGTTCCGTTATAACCACTGAGCCATGCATCCGATTGACTTGAAACTTGGTATCCATTTAGAAAATACATGTACTTAATGGATAGGCTTATATTTATGTGAGTGTTGGACTCCCTAATAATAATGACAATAAATAATAATGTTAATTTTAAACGCCCAACGAAGCGGGCGAGTACGGCCAGTTCTCTATAAGTGTGTAAAATTTCGTACTCTTTCGAGCGCGCAATTTTCGTAAAAAGGAGTACAGAGTTTTTGCTTCACGTATTTAATATATAGAGTCCGTCAGACCGCAGGAGCTAAAGAATGACACTCCCGGTTTATTCGTAACGAATGTTACGACTGTTCCGACGCTCAAATCTCTCAGATAGATACCAAAATTTTTAACAAAAACCATACTTAACACGCCTTCACGAACGATTTCCACGATGAAAGATTATTCCTTCATCGAAATCATCATATTTCGCTTTTGGATCTCGTTGCATTGAGCAGAAATTTATACCATTTCTTAATTAATTAATTATTAAACACATATCGTCTCGTCGCTGTATTAAAACTGTATAATCTCAAAACTTAGTAATTTATAGGAGAGTGTTTTAAAGGTTTAACATTTGATATTTTTAATATTAATCATCTTTGCAACGTTTATTTTTAATTTTTTACCAGTTACATTATCTATCTTTTAAAGTAAGATAAAATTATGTATTAATTTTGTTAACAGTAAACTACGCTCTTTTGACAGTATTTATGAGAAAAATACTGGTGATACCAAATTATTCCGCAAGTTAACTTAATTTCGAATATTTTTGGAAATTGTACACTTATAGTGAAAAGACGATATACCAAAACTGTTTTACTGTTTCAGGTGGAAGATTACAGTTTACGTGTAACAGCGGTTTTGAAATCGCAAGGCGTTAAGAAAGGAGACATTGTTGGTCTCCTTTTCAACAATTGTCCCCAGATGCCGGCTGTATGGATGGGTATAGCCCGTCTCGGCGGCGTTGCGCCTCTGATTAATACGAATCAGAGAGGCAACGCTTTATTGCATTCCATAAACGTCGCTAAATGCGACTATTTGATATTTTCCGACGAGTATCAATCAGGTAATAATAATATTAAGTAAATCATGTGTTTAAGCACTTTTCAGATTGCGAACGAGATAATAAAGTATTCTTAGTTATTGACTAGCGGTATTGTCTTTTTTCCTTATCTATATAATAATAATGATGTCTTCATTTAACATAAAGCTATTAAGGTTTTAAGTAATTACACGCGTTTACACTGGTAATCGACAGATGGCGGTAATAGTTCTAAATCGGGCCACAGCTACGTTAATAATATAAAAATGTATTTACAGACGTCCACTTATGTATAACTGGATTAATAAGGACAGTGCCCGTAAATATATGTAACTAGTCAGGTCATAAGTATTGTCACACAGTAAAAACTTTTCTTTTAGAATGCTGGCCACAAAAAAGTTTATTGAATTCGAATTTCGAACTGTTCATGAAAATAAAAATGTATACTTTTAGAATTTTACTCATTTTTTAATATGGAGTGGACGCTTAAAGAAGACCGTGTTGCAGTTATTGCGTTGCATCGTTGCGGTTACGCGCCAATTCAAATTTTTAACATACTGAAAATTTTGAATATAACCAAAAGATTCGTTTATCGTACCATCAAACGATACAATGAAGACTCTAGTGTAGATGACAGGTCAAGAAGTGGTCGCCCTCGGTCTGTTAGGACTCCAGCAGTGATAAAAGCTGTGAAGGCGCGAATTCAAAGAAATCCCAAACGTAAGCAGAAACTGTTGGCCCTTCAGATGGGGTTAAGCAGAACCACGGTGAAAAGGGTGTTAAATGAAGACTTAGGGCTTCGGGCATATCGAAGAAAAACAGGACATCGTTTGAATGCTCGTCTAATGGACCTGAGACTGAAGAGATGCCGCGCTTTGTTGAAGCGGTACGCGGGAAAAAAATATCGGGAAATTCTTTTTTCGGATGAAAAAATTTTTACCGTAGAAGAGAGCTACAACAAACAAAATGATAAGGTGTACGCACACAGTAGTGAAGAAGCGAGCAACCGTATTCCGCGTGTCCAACGAGGTCATTTTCCATCCTCGCTCATGGTATGGTTGGGAGTTTCTTATTGGGGCTTAACAGAGGTACATTTTTGTGAGAAAGGTGTAAAAACGAATGCAGTTGTGTATCAAAATACAGTCCTGACGAACCTTGTGGAACCTGTTTCTCATACCATGTTCAATAACAGGCACTGGGTATTCCAACAAGATTCGGCGCCAGCTCATAGAGCGAAGAGCACACAAGACTGGCTGGCGGCGCGTGAAATCGACTTCATCCGGCACGAAGACTGGCCCTCCTCCAGTCCAGATTTGGATCCGTTAGATTACAAGATATGGCAACACTTGGAGGAAAAGGCGTGCTCAAAGCCTCATCCCAATTTGGAGTCACTCAAGACATCCTTGATTAAGGCAGCCGCCGATATTGACATGGACCTCGTTCGTGCTGCGATAGACGACTGGCCGCGCAGATTGAACGCCTGTATTCAAAACCACGGAGGTCATTTTGAATAAACTTTAGTGCCATAAGAATCTATGTTTTGTTAAGTTCATTTTGGTATATGAATGGTTACATAATGAATAAACTTGTTTCAATTATTTTACATTAAACATGTGACAGAATTTATGACCTGACTAGGTATATATAAAAATTAATTTATGTGAGATAATCGTCCCCTTTATATTATCACACAAATCGCCAGGAGGAGAGCTCAGCGCTGCCTTTAACAGCCCACTGAGTTTCTCGCCGGATCTTCTCAGTGGGTCGCGTTTCCGATCCGGTGATAGATTCTGCGAAGCACCGCTCTTACTAGGGTTCGTTTTAGCAACGTGTAGAATAGGTGAATTTCAAAATAAACACATATTGCATGCCATCTTCAAATATTGCCAGCATCCAAGATATACAATCTATGATTTCAACTTTTCGAATTGGTCCTTAGCTATTATTAGCAATAGTACCCAAAAACTCTAAAATCACTTAGCGTATAATAATAGTAAATAATTATATTGGCAGCAATATCGACGTTATATTTTTGATTTCGAGACATAATACTCGTTAGGGAATTATTTATTGAAAAAATACAGATTATTATAGTAAGCGGCACGTAAGTTGGCAAGGTTTTGGTGTAGTGGGGGTAATGTCGCGCATAGCGCACATTGCAACAAAAAATGGCCACTTTTATTGCCCGCATATAATTTTATTTTATTTTATTTTATTTTTTATTTGCCATAATTTGCTTTTAAGCCTGTGTGTTTAGATGAAAGTTAAAGAAAAGAGAGGAATTCGTGAAGTGTATTAGGTGTTATAAATAAAATACAATTAAAAGTTAAGAAGTTTATTTAAAAAAATATACTTAATATTAAAAATTATGTGTCGCCGTCTTCACTATCATTTTTTAATAGTGCTACCCCTTGGATTAAATTTATGGTACCATCTGAGCTGGTGGAAGGAGTTGGCTCCTCATCGTTGACATAACGAAAAGTCGCTGTCGTCACTGACGTAAATAATAAAACGCTCAGTGACTGAATCGACTATATGGTCATTGGTATTTGGTCCTGGCATTGCAAACAAATTTAAAAGAATAACACTCGTAACAAAAACTAAATTTAAAACAATAATAACAACTCGTAACAAAAACTCAATATAAACAAAGGGTTATACAATTTAGTAGGCGCATGTGTAACCAGGAGCGAACGGAACGTGGACGCGGTGCGGGAGGGGAGGGTCGACTGACTCACCAATCGCGCGCTCGGAACGGTGCTACGTCTTTCCCCGCGTCCCGCTTGACAACCAAAGAGACCTAAAAAACGACTTCTGCGCATCTAACGACTCTTGCCAAGTTACGTGCCGGGGACTATACATTAAAATTATATCTAATTTGAGAATTTCATACAATTAAATGCGCTTGCGGTGGTTCGAATAAGGAATTATATTTCTTAAACTCTCACAGAGAAACGCGAGACAAAGGGCGCGGGAGCCATACGGCTTTAATGTTGTTTGCTTATAGTACTTATTAAAAATAGTGTTGGACTTTTATCTCGAACTAGGCATGTTGAAAAGTGTCTTCAATACTGATCTGATTAAAAAAATAACTCTTTTTTTCTTTTTTTTCAAGTAAATTACAGTTAGTAAGTAATATTTCAAATTCTTTTCAGCCGTTCAAGACGTAGCGGGTCAATTGAGTCCGTCATTAAAACTTTACAAATTCACTCACCGAGACCTGAACAGTTCGAGCGGAAAGTCCGGGGAGGGCGGCGACGCGATCCAAGATTTTACAAACTTATTGGAAACGACGCCGCCTGCGACTTGGACGTTGGCTGACGGAGACGGATTCGAAGGCAAACTGCTGTATATATATACGTCCGGAACTACAGGGCTTCCTAAGGCAGCTGTTATATCGAATGCGAGGTAATATAATAAAACACATCGTGGTCTAAAAGATAAAACGCTCAATTTTTCTGTTTAAATATGTACTTGTCAAATGTTCATGAACGACTTTATTTTTTATATACGTATATACGTAATTACTGGTGGTAGGACCTCGCGTGGGTAGGTACCACCACCCTGCCTATTTCTGCCGTGAAGCAGTAATGCGTTTCGGTTTGAAGGGTGGGGCAGCCGTTGTAACTATACTGATACCTTAGAACTTATATCTCAAGGTGGGTGGCGTATTTACGCTGTAGATGTCTATGGGCTCCAGTAACCACTTAACACCAGGTGGGCTGTGAGCTCGTCCACCCATCTAAGCAATAAATTAAAAAAATGTCTGCGGCTAAAACTATAAGCTTTTCTACTAAAAAAAAGTTTTTTGGTAATTACCCTAAATCGGTAGTATAACTCACGACCGACATTTGGTTAAGCGATTATATGATTATATGGTATAACAAACAAACAAATTCTAAATCCAACAGGCTAGGCTTTTTATCATTTGTTTTGGATTCAAGAGACAACAAAAATTACATCTAATATCTTGAATATAGTGACTCCGATCGAAAATCTAACCTAGACCCAGCGGTACAGTCAGGGCCACTAATAACTACATATAATTATATCGTTTCATTTCAGGTTCGTATTCATGGCAGCGGGTATCCACTTCTGGCGTCTCAATTCTTCAGATATCATATATTGTCCGCTGCCTTTATACCACACAGCGGGAGGAGTGATCAGCGTGGGCCAAGCACTGATTCTTGGATGTACAGTCGTGTTGAAAGCAAAGTTCTCAGCTTCGCAATACTTCCCTGATTGTGCGAAATATAACGCTACGGTAATTTGAACCCTATTACGATTAAGAGTTAAAACAGAAGTGTTTTTGAATTTAGGAGATTGTTATTCCAATGTAATTCGTATTGTCATGTCTCAAGGTGTATTATCAATCGACTGACTTTATGCGCTAACGGTAGAGTGAACTTGTTTGAAATGTTTTAGTTTGTGATTCTTCAAGCTAAACGTGTAATTTTTTTATTTTATTACACGACTTATTAATCCGTGAATTTGCAGAAAGTGGAGAACAATAAAATAAAATGAACCGCCTCTCTAAAATTAATCCGTTTAAAAATCGAGTTTGCGGCGATTCAAAACGATCAGTGGTATCTGCCAAGTTCAAAAGCCGCATAGCAATATGACGGCGATACTTGGTTAAAAAAAAAACAAATGAGTTTGATCTATAACATTTCCATTGTGTAATTAATAAATTCAAAATTAGTATACACAAGGTGAACATAATGAGGTTTTATTGTGGTTTTTCAAATTTGCTAATAAAACAGGATTACAATCACCATTATACAGAAGTAAAGTTACCTACTAAGGAAAAAAAATATTCTTCTGTCAAACAAAACATAGAATAAAACTTACTGAAATTGTATCAGAATTCAGTGCTTGTACGCTTTCCATTGCTGGCAAATATAATACAAAACCAAGATATTATTCACTGGCAAATTTTAAGCGATATACTAATAACAAAAAATTAAGAGTTAAAACGGTTTTGTCAATCAAGATAACCCACAGACACAATCGCGTTTCCGATCCGGTGGTAGTTTTTTTTTATTGCCCTTGTAGGCACACGGTAACGCTGATATAGCCTCTCAAGGCTATCAGCATCAGTAGGAAAAAAGTCAATTTAGGTTACCATTACCCACCTTTTATAATAGGTTCACCGTTAATATGACCATATTATGAAATTGCATCATAAAACATTTAGATATCTTCGAGGACTGAATTGAATGAAACCAATATAGAATAGAAGCACGTTTGCAAGAAGCGTTATTATTGTTTACAGCACACAAATAGAGTTTAAAATTAAATGACATGACGACTATTGTTATTAATGAGATGCACACGTGTATTGTACGTACAGGCCGCCCACTACATAGGCGAGATGTGTCGTTACGTCCTAGCGACGCCGCCGTCGCCCGCCGACACGCAACACAACGTGCGCGTCATCTACGGGAACGGACTAAGGCCACAAGTAAACTATTCTATATATTAATTTAATTTTATGTACTATATTACGTACTATATTTATATAGTATTATTTATATTTTTAGTGATGGTAGGACCTCTTGTGAGTAGGTGGGGTGTGGCAGCCGTTGTAACTATACTTGAGACCTTAGAACTTATATATCAAGTGGGTGGCGAATTTACGTTGTAGATATCTATGGGCTCTAGTAACCACTTAAGACCAGGTAGGCTGTGAGCTCGTCCACCCATCTAAGCAATAAAAAAAATTGTATTTCAAAAAAGTTGCTTAAAACTATCATGGTTTATTAAAAATTTCAAATTTTAAAACACGTAAACCGATAAACAACATTATTAAAGTGTTTTATTTTACATACGTTGTAATATTTAAGGAATACGTAATAAAATCGATGGCATCAGTCTTCGATCAACAATAGTAACTAGATAAAGGGATACGTACAAAATTAAAGCAAAAAGTGTCCGCGTGAATATATACTTATATAGCTACATTCGTTTACTAACAAATGGAGAAAAAAGTTTTGAAACACTTTTACGTTCAAACTAATTACAACTATGGCACCTAGTAATAAAGTCACAAATCTCTAAAATATTATCTAATACTTACGATCATTCGTCACATAAAACGAGCAAAGCAATAAATTACTCCTGTCACTTACTAATAAAAAGACATATTTTAAACAACTTTTAATGTTAAATCAATCTTAGATGGCAACAAATAAAGTAACTTTTCCCTTAATTGCTCTGAGAACTAACATCGTTTTGCTTTATTTATTTTTGCTTCTTGAAATGCCGATTTCTATTTACTACAGGAAGTAAGGGAGTCGCGCTGAACACTAAAATAATTTATTAATGAATTAAAGTAAAAGTTTAGTTGTTTACTTTTGATGTTTTGGAAATGTATGTTTGTTAGTATCTATACATTTCTTATTATTTTATTAGCGTTACGTTTTTGTGTAATATATATATTTAAGTTTTCGCGACCAGTGCACATAATAAAACAACGTTTAAACGGTTTCAAGCGCGATATTTTTATTACAATGTTTCGGCCACGTTTCAGTAGCCGTGTGAGCACGGAAGGCAAAGATGTCCAGTGTCAATAAGCGGAGATCTTAGCTGGCTTATAAAAGTCATCTCTTGTTTCTCTGGCGACAATCGAGATCCATTCTGCACACGTGATTGCTAGGAAAGCTAAAATAAAAATGGAAAGCTAAGTATCTAATGAGAGTCCAACAAACAGACACAAAAGCAGCATTAAACAATTTTAACCAACTAATTTTGAAGTGCTGCTAACAAATTTTAAAAAATTATTACAACACAAATCTACTCCATGCGTTTACTGTTCTGTTAAGCAAAAGTTTGTCCATGTGTTGGCCGAGCCTTGGCCAACATTTGTAGCGGTGGTTAAAAATCGGTAATTTTGTTCAAAATTTAATATCATTTATAAGTTTAAAGCTTAAAATATAGTTTATACTTCATGTACTTACCGAAAGTAAGATACTCCGGCCGTTAAATTGCTTTTTCGGGCCTAATTTTTGCAACTTTTAAATACACACTGCGGTATTGTGAGACAGGTTGACATTGGCTGTGTTTGAAGTGAACTAAACAAAATAAGAGCTCACATTTCAAGTGAGCTGTTATTTGACGAGACGGATTTTATGCACCGACCCGAAATCTAGTTACTATTGTTGATCGAAGGCATCAGTAGTAAAAGTGTTAATCTCACTGCCCTAACCCATAATCTTTTAGCTACAACATTTAATCTACCATCTACACTACATAAATGTGTGTAATAAAACTAATAAAAATTTTCCCATTTAAATTCTACTAGTTCTTTTGTATCCAAAATAATACGATGCCTAATTTGTACATTGGCGAGTTCATTTCAGAAAAAAAAGTAACAATATCAAGGTTTTTTTTTTAATTTCTTGTTACAGATATGGACGGAGTTCGTAAAAAGATTTAATATTAAATATGTAACGGAGTTTTACGGGGCAACAGAAGGCAACGCTAATATAGGTACACTTTTGTTTCTCGCCTAATAAGCTGAGAGTCGCCTGATCTTGGAAATCAGTGAAATAAATATTGATTTATTTATTCATACTATTGCTATAATTTTTTTAAATATCACTATTAGGAATAACTGTTGGGTTTTTCTTTTCAGCGAACACTGATGGTACTCCAGGAGCCATTGGCTTTGTGTCACGGATCATTCCGAGAGTTTATCCGATCGCCATCATCAAAGTAGACCAAGAGACAGGAGAACCGATAAGGGACCAGAAAGGCCTTTGTCAGGTAACTGCACATACTCATAAACTATTTATACGGGTAAATCTCGCGTTTATATTTCTGATTTTATTGTAGAAACTAAAACGTCCGTGACAAATCCGTGGCAATGTTGGGAATTTAACCGCTTTGAAAATTGAATGGAAATTGAAAATCTTGTGAGGCTCTCCATTTTTAATAGTGGCAACAATTACAGGTGACAGCTGTCACAAGAGAGAGTTGCCACCGACAAGGAAAAAAAATATACAATTTTTTTTACTTTTTGGCGGGAACGCGTGGTGCGAAGTTGTGTGAATTGTTTTATTTTGTCTATTTAGTGTTTCTTCAGGTTTATATGTGTAGTAACAACGATGGTTTATTAACTGTTTAATATCTTGTGAAAGTGCACAAATGTGGGAAAATGAACCAAAACCGGTAGACGTAGCTTCTCGGGATCCTCCAAAAAGTCCACTATAAAGTCTCAGTAAATAACCACAATTTTACTGATATTATATTTCAACCCATATCATCTCATCTCATTTTGTTTAACTTCAAGCTAATTGATTAATGTTCTAAATTAATCAACTTCATTTCATTTCACTTCATATTTTATCATTTTTCATAAGAAAAAATTATAAAATATTAGGCTGTATGGTACGATACCTTTGTCTTTTCAGTTGGAACTGCTGCTATATAAAATTTTTATATTTCACTAAGGCTCCTCGCGCACTAGGCAGCCAGGCTGCGGCAACCGAAATCTTTGAGCAGCCAATCGACGCCAATTTATGATCTTTTCGTCGAGGGATTTGGACTTTATCTCGTAAAAAACGCAAAGCAAAGAAAAGACACTAGATTCATCCTCTTTTTCTAGGACGGCATTCAAAAGGCTTATTCTATAACTATTTTAAAGATGTTCATACCAGACCGGTTTTTTTAAATACAAGAGATTGTACAAGCATGCTGTGTCATATAACTAACTCCTCTCAGTGCAGATACTAAAGAATTATTATATTTATTTCTTCGTAACAAGATTCTAAACAATCGTCGTTGAATTTATAATGGCTTTGTAATGAATTCGTGACGTGACTTCCAGTTGGCCGAGCCTAACGAGCCGGGCGTGTTCATCGGTAAGATCCAGACGCGGAACCCGGCGCGCCAGTTCCTCGGCTACGTCGATAAATCCGCGTCCGAGAAGAAAATCGTCAGGGACGTGTTTGAGTATGGCGATTCTGCCTTTATATCCGGTTAGATGTTATTTTTATACTGGAAAAAACGGTATTAAAAGGAAAATCGGGTACCGTGATATTTACAGATTTTATTGGGTATTTGAATGAAAGAGTTCTCTCGATCAAGTTTTGATCATTTCACAACGTGAATGATGTCACCTATTGTCAAAGTTGAAGTTTCAATTGTATTTTCTCTCTCACTCTCTGTTCTGTTAATGACTGTTACAGTAAAAAATTTAATTAAGTTACAGTTACCGTAAAATATTGAAATTTATTGGTACATTTTCTGTATTGCGACTTATTTGAAAAAGAAGGTGTGCAGAGTTTTGTGCTGAATATTCTCAGGGGTGAAACTACATTTTGAATCGATGCTAATGTCATGATCATTTGAAAGTCCCTATACAAAAATTAATGAAATAAAATAAAGAAAATGTTTGTTTGGTTTTCTTTTCATACAATTAATTATGATCATTTATAATTCGATATTTGATACCGTCCAGGGACCACAAGCAATTTTGTCTGGTAATTGAATAATGATAATTGAATATCAGTCTTTTATTTCTAGGCGACATCCTGGTGGCGGACGAATTAGGTTATCTGTACTTCCGCGACCGCACCGGAGACACGTTCCGGTGGCGCGGAGAGAACGTCTCCACCACAGAGGTCGAGGCGGCCGTGTCTAGATGTGCCGACCATAGAGACGCCGTTGTCTATGGCGTATTGGTTAGTAAAAATTAATAAGTGCTTGCGTTAAAAAAAATCCGATTCCGATCCGGTGATAGATTCTGCGAAGCTCTGCTCTTGCTAGGGCTAGTGTTAACAAATTTTCTCAGGATAGAGCCCCGTGAGTTCACCTACTCGTTCAGCGAATGTAGTATAATCCCTCGAAGTTAATACAATAGGTAGGATTTTTATTTTTATTGCTTAGATGGGTGGACGAGCTCACAGCTCACCTGGTGTTAAGTGGTTACTGGAGCCCCCATAGACATCTACAACGTAAATGCCGCCACCGACCTTGAGATTTTTTTTATGATTGAAGGATTACCGGTGGCTCGGAGGCCTTTCCAGTTTCACCAGGACAGGTGGGCAAAGGCTAAACTAGGAGCCTTGAGATATGAGTTCTAAGGTCTCAGTATAGTTACAACGGTTGCCCCACCCTTCAAACCGAAACGCATTACTGCTTCACGACAGAAATAGGCAGGGCGGTGGTCCCTACCCGTACGGACTCACAAGAGGTCCTACCACCAGTAAAGACAAGGCCAACAAGGGCGATAATAAAAAAAAGGAGGTCGTATTTCCTGTTTTTGATTGAGTATGAGTGGTTTAAAGGAAGGAGAAATGCTATTGCAGGTGCCGAATATCGAAGGTCGGGCGGGTATGTGCGGGCTGGTGGACGCGGCGGGCACGCTGGACCTGCGCGCGCTGCACGAGCGTCTGGCGCGCGACCTGCCCGTCTACGCGCGACCAGTCTTCATGAGGATCATGGACAGCGTCGATATGACCGGTCAGTATTTGGGGTCGTCAGCTTAGGTGTGACAAAGGACGGTAATGTATTATATTTTTAAGGCGCTTTACCGGCGGAAAGATTTGACGGAGTTTAACGTAATAATAATATAAATTGTCATTAGATTTATTTCAATATGTGTGACAATATGGTTTCAATATTGTATCTGCGAAAAAAACAGACTAATGCAATCATTGATTTAACTAATATGTAATGTACTGTAATGATTGTAATTTGTTTTGTTTATCAATATAAAAATATCTTCTAAAATTAAATAAGTAAGTTCAAAATTTTAATCTACTCAGGGTTTGTATCCAGCATAGAAAAAAAATATACATTAATAATGAAATAGGTAACCATTACATAATTATATGTAAATATATGTAAATGAATTAATTAATAACTGATATTGCGAATTAAAATTGTTAAATAGATGGGGGAGGCTTACAACACGTCCCAACACAAGTAAAATCAGTCAACACAAGTAAAATCAGTTCAGACTAAACATTTAACTCCTCTTTTGACAGTTCGTGCAGAGCAAAACGACCAAGATCCATATTAAAACTCGCTAAATTCTATTTTTCAGGTACATTTAAGATGAAAAAGACTGATCTCCAAAAGGAAGGTTTCGACCCGGCTTTGGTGAAGAAAGACAAACTTTATTATTTAGATCCGAAATTGGGACAGTATCTGCCCCTGGGGAAGGAGGAATACGAGAAAATCATCAGCGGACAAATCAGGCTGTGATGCTTAACGTTTATTAACGCGACAAAACATTTCTGGATAATCTGTTCGGCATTGTGAATGTCATGAGTCTTCTGTGACAAATATTGACATAATATGAAATGTATTTATCGATAGCAATAGCAAAAAAATACAATATTCGAATCTGATATCGACTTTAACACATTGACTGCCGGCCGTGTAGGTCACCGGTGACCTACATGGCGCATTGAATTAATTATGTCGATTTCTTTTACTAAGCGCCTAGATTGCCTAACTTTGCCTTTGGTTTGTTAATGTATGTTTTACCCTTTCAAGTCTCTTAGAAATAAATATATTTCCAGTACCTACAGATTCGTCTTTCGTAGCGGCTACTAGATATTCCGTCGCCTTAGCATGAAGATCGAAAAGAGAAATCCGCTTAATTACTTCAGCGCGCCACGCAGGGCACCGGTGACCTACACGGCAGTCAACTTGTTAAATCATTTTAAAAGCGAATATTTAGTTTAATTCTCGACGAACAAGCAATATAGTTGTGTGTTGTTTTGTTGACAACGTTTCGCTCAGTTTAATATGTACGAATAGAAAATACGCATTTTAATAGCATTTTAATTTTAGCGATTTTAATTTTATTTTAGCATTAAATGACTAGATCAGTGATTCTCAAGCACTGTTCCGCGGCACTTTTGTGTGCCGCCAAATTTCAAAAGTGTGCCGCCAAATTTTGCGAATATATAATAATGTTAATATTATTAAATTATATCATTTTAAAAGAAAAATATTTTAAACATGAATATATATTTAAATCCACAAAAAAAAATTATAGTATATTTTAGTTTATTTCGTATATTAAAAATTTTTGATAAACTATTTATGCAGTGTATTGTAAGTAAATAATTTTTATCTTTTTTTTTGTGTGCCGCCAAATTTTGAAATCGTTTAATATGTGCCGCAACAAAAAAAAGGTTGAGAATCACTGGACTAGATGTTGCCTTCGTTTGATCAAGACAGCTACGGCTCAATTTAATTAAAGAGATATGGTGACGGGAAGCGTCTAAAAACACGAAAGGTTTCAAGGATTTTACGGTGGAAGTCGTTGTACGTTAAACTATATTAAAAGTTATGTTAAGAATTCTGTATGTATTTATTTTGCGCGGCAAATTCAGTTAGATAATGTACGTTAGGCGAGGACGCACTGAATATGCGGGCGCGGAGTGAAAGAGACAGAGAGAACTGCGCCGCAAAATTTTAATTTTTGATGGTGCGTGTACATTAGACGGCAGTATACCGCGCTAATGAGGAAAATGCTAATTTTTATTTTCTTGCCTTAATAAGCCGAAGCATACAGTCTACCTGGTGGAAAGTTGTAACTACCGTCCATGGATACTGGCAATTCTTTTCATTTTCCTACCTACGCCGATAGCTTTGAAAGGCTATATCAGCGTTACCCTAGCGTGTAGGTGAGCTCTCGGGAATCAAACCGGAAGTATTGCTAACACTGGCCCTAACAAGAGCAGTGCTTCGCAGAATCTACCACCGGATCGGAAACGCGACCCACTGAAAAGATTCGGCTAGAAACTCAGTGGGCTGTGTCTATGGGTTAATTTATTCGCCGAGCCCTTCATCGCAAGCGGCAGGCTCGGCGAGGACCGTGACCAGCTTGCTATGCCAGGGGACATCCACGCCAAGGGAGTCGCTTGGTGGGTACGGCTCTAAAACATCCTTGGGCCCGCGGTCTGCTAAATATCTGCAGACCGTTAAGTCCCACATAACTCGCGCGAAAACTTCGGCCCGTTATCGAGACAGCCCGTTTCACTATGGTTTCGGTTTTATTAAAGTCAAGTTCACGGAGCATTTGTTGATGGTTGTCACCAGTTTCGATCAGACACTTACACTCTTCTGCTACTTTGCCAGACCAATCTAAAGAGAGAAGAGAGAGAGAGAGAAAGAGTGAGAGAGAGAGTTTACTTTATTACACATCAAAACCTAAGTGACATTGAAAATCAGTTAATGCTCTTATAAAAATATGTTACACTAATCTAAAACTTAATAATGATCTATCAAAATAGAAAAAAAAACTTTAAATATATTAATATCTTTTTACCTTTAACCTTACTTTTTACCTTTTCCAATAAAATTTTAAATCTCGACTGAATATCATTATATTTAATAATTAATTTTATAACACAAATGATTATTTTTGTTAACGAGTTTAAAAGTTTGATTTAAAAAAAATACTCTTAATGTCTGCGATTTTAATTAGTGTTGTAATGTACTTAATTATTTTTATCATTATTGTTGCGTTGTACTTTTGTACAGTAGGTGTGGGAATATATATCATTGCTTTGTGATTAAATACTTATTTCTCATGATAATCGAAAAAAAATATGAAAAATATTTTTTGTAAAGTTGTAATTAATTTTTATCGTAATTAATGACGGCCTTGCCAGTTGCAAATTTATGTTTACGAGACGGGAATATTTTTATAGAACCGAACACCATTTAACCCATCTAGCCCGGATTCCCGTAATAGGTTCACTGACCTCTACAATGATGTGATCGATTTTTGATTATAAATTTTATTATTGACTAGCGACCCGCCCTCGCTTTGCTTCGGAAACATTAAATTTTATTATTAATAGCTGAGTCTCGCGATGTTACCCGCGGTTATTGTCGTACCGCGAGAGACGCCGCGGGGCGAAGCTAGTTTTAAAAAAAGTAGCCTAAGTTACTCCTTATATCATCAGCTGCCTATCAGTGAAAGTCTCGTCAAAATCGGTCCAGCCGCTCCAGATATTAGCTGGAACAAACAGGCAGACAGACAAAAATTGTAAAAAATGTTATTTTGGTGTATTTATATATGGTGTACCGTATATATATTCATATGCATGTAGTAAAAAGCGGTTATTTCAATATTACAAAAAGACACTCCAATTTTATTTTTATGTATAGATTATAAATTATATTCTACATAGGTATTTAACAATGTTTTATTATTTAGAAGATTCATGTGACATCACTATTTTTAACTAGCAGAATAAACTGCACACAAAATTAAGAAAAATCAATGCAATAATATAACTCGAAAAAAAAGTATTAACATTGAGCTATTTCAGTGACCTGTATACACGATTCTTCATTCAAAATCTTTTTACTTGTAATAACTTTGTCTTCTGTAATCTATTTGGTTATTACATGGCAGTTGAGTTCACACAGTCTACGTAATGTTAAGACGCGGTCGAACTCCATAGACAACTTATAATAATAAATGCGCAGTAGAAATCGATAAGATGATGGTGTATATCCGTGTGGGCTTACAATACACTCTGCCTTCAGAGAAGTCAATTAGAGCAAATGTTTTCAATATCATGTACATTGCATGTTATTCTTGGTAATTAAAATACAGGGGGAACAGGTTTTTGTCAATATGTCGTATCAACAAAAACCGAATCCATGATTCGAATGAAAGTCTTTTTTTTTATCAGAATTTTAACATTAAATACTCTTGCGATACAAAGTACGCACCTCCATGAAAAAATACGAAATGGAGATATAATTAAAAATTACCCGTCTTGAAAATTTACCGACTGCACTGTTTTTGTTTATAACATAGTTTCACCTAATTTTATGGTAGGGGGATATGTTGGATTTGTTTAATAAATGCCTATATTTTCTGAATGTACTAGTTTTTTTTTTTCTTTTACTTTTCTATTACTTTCTTTAGAACATATGGCTTGAAGATGCGTGGTGGCAATTTTAAGTCATTAGCTAGTGCTGAAAACTCGACACTTCTCTTTTAAACGTTCACTTTATAGCACTCGAAAAGTAAGAGCCGCGTTCACACCCGAAGAATAAACGGTAAAAAAAGTGAATTAGATTCCCTTCACAGTCTTGAGAGAATTCAATTTTATGCATACATTTTATACGTCATCAGTTAACCTCAAGACTTATTATTATTATTATATTCATTTATTTTAGATATTACATTCGTATTACATTCATTAAAAATAACATTTCACATAGAACATAAAATAATAATAACAACAATTTCGGATTAAAATTAAAATTAATGTTGTAAAAGCTACAAATTACAAAAAAAATAATGTCAAAACTACCTAAAGCTTTAGGCTGTTTTGGATCCAGAGTGCTCAAAATGCATCTATTGAATTGGTACGTAACAGTAAAACGTAACGTAATTAATCCCTTACTGACGCTGAGGATTTTTTTATTGTTCCCAATTTATTTAGCCAATATTTTTAATACAAACGTATGTACCTTCAGTCAAAAGACGAATGGAAGAATGATTGATGACAAGTTCACTAGTAAACAAGTAATAATATCAGTTAATGATTCCCAAAATACGATAGTTTTTAAGGATCGTACAATTTATGACTTCCCGCGCTGACATTTTAAATATCATCCAATCGTCCAAAAATCGTGCTGGCCTAAGGGATATTATGATGCCTGGTGTGCTCATACCAAATGAGGCAACTGTGCAAATGTCCTTGGCAGATACCAATTTTTCTAACGACTAGCTTAACACGTATTCACGATAAACACAATTAAAGAATAACATCGTGTAATTTTAAAAAAATGCGTGTAAACTTGCGGATAGGTTTAATAGTCGCACAGCCAATAAAAAATACAATTGTGGCTTCCTACCTCATGCCTCATGTTGGAGGCGGTATTCACGTTGTGACGTAGCTATCTATTAGTCTCCGGTGATCGAACTTATCGATTTCATCCAGGCAATTAAAAACACGATACATTCATAAAATGGCCTCAAAACTTTATTTTATTGCTTAGGTGAGTGGACAAGCTCACGCCCCACCTGGAATTAAGCGGCTACCGGACCCCTTAGACATCTACAACTTAAATGCCGCCACCTACCTTGAGATATAAGTTCTAAGGTATCTGTATAGTTACAACAGCTTTTTTTTTTTTTTTTTTTCCGGGCCGTGGTCCGAACCTCCTACGAGGTCCCCGCGCCTAGGGGGCGCGCGGGTTATGTGAGACTCAACGATTTGCAGGTGTTGAGAGCAGATCGCGGGCCCAAGGATTTTAGGGCCCACCCACTAAACGACTCCCCTGCACTCTTACACCCGACGTCCGATCTCCGTCCGGGGTCAGAACCCGGTCAGAGTAGGGGGGTTCCCGCGGTCAATACTACAACCAGACACGCGGCGCCACCCCGAGGACGCCCGACCGACGGGTCGTCGAGGCGATAGTCGACGACCGACGACGTCGGTCTCCGCGGTACGGCGGCCCTACCAGGCCGCCCAGGCGATGCCGCTGCTGTTCCGGGATACCCCGCTGGGCCAGAACCAGCCTGCCGGGTCGGAACGCGACACACCGCCAACCGGGTTGCTCTTCCACAGTATGTTCGGCGACGACAGCGACGACGAAAAACCGACGCGTCGTCCCGTTCTCCTGGTGCCAGCGCGCTAGAGTTACGGTAGCGTGCGGCGCAGCCTCAACCCCCTTAGGTCGCCCCGTGACCATCACCGGGAGGAGACTGCCTCCTCATAGGGGATAGTTACAACAGCTGCCCCAACCTTCAAACCGAAACGCATTACTGCTTCACGGCAGAAATAGGCAGGGCGGTGGTACCTACTCGTGCGGATTCACAAGAAGTTCTGCCATCAGTAACTACGCAAATTATAATTTTGCGGGTTTGATTTTTACTACACGATGTTGTTCCTTCACCGTGGAAGTCAATCGTGAACATTTGTGAAGTACGTATTTCATTAGAAAACTTGATTAAGACGGGCATTTCTTCTATCATTTTTGTATCTTTTACTGAATTGAAATAGTTTTCCAATAGATTTTGGTCACATAAAATATTTGACAAAAATAATGGTGAAATGTAAATTAAGGGCATGTCCATAATGTTTCTGTTTTTCCCGAGGATTTTTTTGCATGTGAAATTATAACAGTATCAAATAGCTTTTGGAATATACGAGATATTCTTTAGGGTCGTAACAGAGCTACTAGTTGATCTTATCACAACGCCCAATAGCCAGCCTCAGGAGTGGGAAGCTTATGTTTTAAAATTATCATGGAAAACATAATATACATCTATTTACACGAAAAATGTCGAGATCTCGAACACTTTATGTTGACATTTTAATATGTTCATTAAGGATAACTATCTCTTTTAACTTAAGTTAACCCATTAAGCGCCTGATTTAAATCGTTCGGGAAAGTAGGAATATTTTTTCTCTTCTCCATATTATCCTACTTTTTTTTATCTTTTATGATTGAATGATTACTGGTGGCCCGGAGGCCTTTCCAGTTTCACAGGACGGGTGGACGAGCAAAGGCTCAGCCAGGAGTGGTGGGATTTGCTAACAGCTGCCCGAGCGCCTCCAAAGGAGACCTAACAACTCAAGGGCAGCAGCGTCGCCAATGAATCTACTACCGGATCGGAATCGCGACCCGCTGAGAAGATCCGGCGAGAAACAGCGGGTATTATCCTAGTATTTGAAAACTTGTAGTACTAAAACCACAAACGCTTAAATTAGAACATAACATGTTATTAATTACTGTAATTCCAAATTGTTCTCATTGTACCATATCTCTTAGATCTTATGGCCTTCTATTAAAAGTTATTCAATTAAATATTAGGTTTTCCAGACAAGGCTATAACACCAGGCGATCCATGAGCTCGCCCGCATAACTATTCCAATAAAGACTAATAAAAATAAATAATTCAGCTCCATAATACTAACGACTAAGCGAACAAGAGGTTCTTCTAGTATGGAGTAGGGCTAAACCAACGAGTTCAAAACTATATAATAGTTATACACCATTGAGTTGGTCCTCCAAATAAACATACAAGGAGCAAATAAATATACAATATAGAGATTACCTATATAACAGATACACATTTTGCGACATCATCAATCAAGTAGCTGGTTTCATTCATTTCAGTAAAATCGTTCTATAATTTTCGCTGTAGAATAAAAACTCCTTAATTTTACCGAAACAGACCAGCTGTTTGAATTTTTATTGAAAGACAATTTAATGTCAGCCACAAAGAACTATCGTGAAGTTTAACAGTATGTCGACATGAATTAGTAATAAGGGGAGGCAAAACATCGCTGTGCCACCCGTTCGGTGATCAGCTGTTGTCGCGCATGTGCAGCTGTGCCGAGGGGGGCTTCGAGCTTCGACATCGACGCGGTGCGTCCTTCCAACATTTGCGCGAAGCTCTTCGCCGTAAATAGACGCGTGCACGTGGCGTCCTTTGTGAACGCGCTCCTACAGTATTACTAGTGCTCGGTCGCGCCCTACTGGGCTATTCGCCAGCTACAGCATGGACGCGTTGCTGGCAGCGCTCGTGGCTCTGATGGCAGTTGCCGCCGCGATGGCCGCCGTGCTGAGTACGCTTTCTAAAGCTGCAATATTCGCTATCCTCGCGATAGCGCCCTGTGTGTATCGTTACAGAAAGCAGCTCTACATTATTTTCGTCACTCTTCCACGAGATCTCAAGTGAGTAAAGATACATTTTATGTATGAGAAAGCACTCAAATTGAACGAAATATACACAATAATTCACTGTCATTCTTTTTCTCGTTGTACAAAATTAGACCATGGTTCAATATTACGTTGGGATTTGTTCCGACTTTATCAGTGTTACAAAAGGGGCCCAATGTGTTCTCACGTTTAAATGTACTTAAATATCGATACAGCATGTTTATAACTCAAAAGATTTTCAGCGATGTTTATGTTAAAGTTATCAAGGACGAACGAAATCTACTTTCGACATCTAGCAAAAAATACGAATAAAACATTCTAATGATTAATTTATATAACTCGTGGGCACGACTTCAATCGTGTACGGTTCCTGTCTCCGGCGTTTGATTGGAAGTACGTTGTTTGTCCATCACAGCTCATCATAGTGACGTCTCTTGAATACTTAATGTTCTCTGATTATTATTATTCCTGTAGATGAAATATTGTTCCATTGTGCGTGAGCTATGGTTTTTGGATTACGGTTTAAAGTTTTCTTTAGTAAAAGTTCATAATTTCTTACAAAGATTTGCTTAAAACTAAAATTGGCTTCATCAATGATACTTTAATAAAAAAATCATAGTTACTTCTTCGTTTTGGGCTCCCATAAATGATCGTTGTTAGAAAGTTAATGAATTATTCAATAAACTATCCGTTTTCATGGAAATCGATTTTATCAATCAAAAATTCTTCAGACGGATGATTTATGTGTAATGTTTTAATTAAACATATTTTTCAAAGCAAGTCGCTTTGATTATTGATAGATTTTCGCTTTAATTATCTTTTTCGATGACAATTCTACCCAGGAATTAGTTGTGCATCTGAAATAGAAAAGTGTTGTTTGAGAAAGTGCTCATGATCCACTTAGTATTAAGTTGTTACTGGAGTCATAGATTAAGGTTGAAGTCTTATTGTGTATCGGTTGTCTCACACTTCATGAATGCTTTGAGGAAGAAATGGGCGGGTGGCTCTACCAGGAATAACGCCCCCTGTGTTAATATAGAGGAAGGTTGGTTGGTAATAAATTTGATTTTTCCGTCGTTTTTTCTTAACACTTTTAAACATTGGATTACTACCAGGTTGTCGGAAAAAATCTTATTGAGACAGAAAATGGGCTACCTTTTAGTAAATTGTTTCCGCTTTGACTAAAAAAACTTGTACATCTTAATTATTAATTTAATAAAACACGCCGCTACATAATACCCGTATTGTGATGTTTAACTAGGTATCAGTTTAATGTCAGAGTACAATGAACGGAAACACTAGTGTTAGACTTTATACCGTAAAACGTTAATAACGCATTGTAGAAGATAAAAGTTTGTATTTTGTCATATTTAACAAAAAAACACTTTGTCATATTTTTCATTTACATATATATGCAACTATTATTCACGCTATAGTACCTAAATTAAAGTATAACTAAAATGAAATAAAGCTGTTTGTAGAAACTCATTCAATTGTTTACATTAATTATTTGGTCGCGTGATAATTTAGTTGAAGGATAACTTTATCTGGTCGTTTGCAAAACCAGCTAGATTTTAAAACTGACTATGCCTTGAAGTAACAGTAACGTATGAGTTCAGGGTTCCGTTGTTTAGTATAATATTCCAATTTATCCAATATTAATTTAGAACAAACAGGTTATGTGAGTCGACTATTATCAAAGCCGGCAATGTGACTTTTGGACAATTATTGGTAAATCAGAAAAACGAATTATTGACTTTGTATTCCATTGGCAGTCACAAAACTCTTCTGAACGACATCTTAGATAAATAACAGGTTAAGTATTAACCTTCATTTAATGCAGGTTTTGAACCGTATTCTTTGAAGGAGACGATTATATTCAAATCAATCTGTATTGACATATCAATAACATTTTTTTGTCCAAATGCACAGATTGCCACCTTTGATAATAGACGACTCATGTATCGACCACAAAAATTCAAATAACACAAAACAGTGAACAAATTTACAATGTAGTAACCTCGTCTTTTATTAGCTACTGGCTGAAGTTCCTGTAACAACATTGATCGCCCTGAAATATATTCTGTTGTTGTTTATTATCTACACGATGCCGCGATGTTTACAGAGACACGTGTTGTCTAATTATTTCTGGTGTTAGGTATTTTTATAATGTTTACTAGATTGGTATCGTGATGGCACGCTCATTGAAACTGGTCTCTGGATGTTTTCTTTTTCGTTATGAAAACGAGCTTACAGAAAATTCAATTAGAACAAAATCCGAGAGCTATTTATTACAAATGCTTTACTAAAATGTTAATTTCAATAAAACGGTTTATTTAATTTTTTTTTATTGCCTAGATGTGTGGACGAGCTCACAGCCCACCTGGTGTTAAGTGGTTACTAAAACCCATAGACATCTACAACGTAAATGCGCCACACACCTTGAGATATAAGTTGTAAGGTTCTAAGGTCTCAGTATAGTTACAACGGCTGCCCCACCCTTCAAACCGAAACGCATTACTACTTCACGGTAGAAATGGCAGGGTGGTGGTACCTACCCGCGCGGACTCACAAGAGGTCCTACCACCAGTAATTACGCAATTTATAATTTTGCGGGTTTGATTTTTATTACACGATGTTATTCCTTCACAGTGGAAATCAATCGTGAACAATTGTTAAGTACGTATTTCATTAGAAAAATTAGTAACCGCCTGCGGGATTCAAACACCGTTACATCGCTATATACGAATGATTATACACCGGACGTCTTATCCTTTAGGCCACGACGACAAAAATTAATTTAAAAATACATCATCATTTAAAAAGATATAAAATTACATTAAGGTTTAATTTTCACTGACTTGAGGGCACAGTGGTTAACGCCTCTGTCTGCTGAGCCGAGAGCCGTTTGTTCGATTCCCATATTTGGCAAACATTCGTGTGACGAACAGATTTATTTGCTCCTTATTCAAATCTAGGATTCTATAGATAGATACGATATTTAATCGTATTGATTTAAGTATATTAGTTTCTGGATCCCATAGTACAGGGAACCGAGTTTCCGATTGTTTACTTTTATTTGGAAGTTGTACAATAGCGTATCTCAAATAATGGAATTGAGAATTAAAATTATTTTTTGATCATAAAGTAAGGGTATTGTAACCCTTGTTGTAATTGTTTTATAGTAATCTGTAATCTCAACGTTAAGGCGGTGGTTATGATACCTGTCAAGTGCCTACCTTATGTCAAGGATTGTTTTAAATGCATACAGATGAAAATGTTTAAAACTTATCGGTGATATTTATTTCACTACGTATTCAATTTATTTTCTATATTATAGATAAACTGTACGAATTATTTGTTTTCTGATGTTTAAAGCAGATTTTGTACGCGTTATTTTGTGATGGCATCGTTCAATAGCGTAATACAAATTCTATCATCACTCGCATTACAGGATAGGTACAGATAATTCTTCACAAAAAACTTTAAACTGACAATTTATATAAATAAAAAATTCAAATCCTGTCATTATAATCAATCATTAATCAATGTGTTATTAAATTTTTAATTCAGCCGAAGATATGAAAATTGCCACTATTGCCACAAGCAAAAAATTGTTTACTCCGTACCTAGCGAAGTCAAACGCAACATTATAATTATCATTAACTCATTTTACTTTACCATGTTCTTCGTTTCAAGCAGCCGTTCATAATTGGCTTTTATTATGTGAAACGATGCTTTTTTTTATGAATCGTCAGGTGTGTCGGAATAAATACATTCCCTTCATATTAAAAGAATAGAAGTTTAAAAAAAAAAAAAGTTAAAAAAAAACTAACAAAATACGCTTTTATAGAAAATCCAACTAAAAAATAAAAAAGCGTGGGGTGCTTTTGAGGATATTATCAAAAGAACCCTTCTACTCATATCTGTTCATAAAATATTTATAACTACTGATACCATGCACCCCATGCTTTTTTTACAATAAATCATTTTTTCTTACACTATTTTTAATTCAAATTTTTTTGGATTTTCTATAAAAACGTACTTTGTTAGTTTTTTTAAACTATTATTTATTTCTCATTTTTAATTGAATTTCAATTTTATGAAATTATTATTTTAATTTTTTTTTAAATATTGATTTGTCATCGGTCCTTAATAAGTAAACCAAATTTCGAGTTAATCCGACGTTTTGAAGGGGGTTAAAATCATGTTCAAAGATTCCGTTACAAACATACATACGTCTGAAGCTAATAAAAGCGTATTAAAATAGGCATTGACACAAACAATATAATATAATAAATTATATACTTAAATATGACATCTTGGATATAAAATAAGACGACGTTGTCTTGACAGGATAAGTCATATTTGTAGGTTGTCTACAGCGAAAGCAGAACCATTTTCAATGGCGCCCAAATTCCAAGGGATGTTCCTTAAGGGAGATAGATAATCGAGTTTGTTCAATCTGGTCATTAGAGGTTTAAGAGAGTAATTTTATTAAGTGTCCACAAGCCAACCTGCCACTATTGACAAAAACTTAAACTTATATATATCTATAATAGGTAATTTAAAATAATATAACATTTTATAGGTAATTGAAATTTAAAATACTAGGGAGAGACGATTAAAATTAAATCTACGAGAAATCATCTTCATAATAATACTAATAGTTTGTCATTTCTTCTGTGCGCTTATAAGATAGTTTATGCAATTGAAAGAAAATTGTAAATTGGCCAAGATTAAGCAAAAAACGTAAAAGCTTATTAGAGAGTTAAGGTCCGGATCAAAGACCTCCTTATTTTTATTAAGTAATCCTTGACTTGTGCTGTAAAAATTTTTCAGGCACTTTTCTTAAATTCAAGAACAGTTTATAATTCATTCGGCAATACATTTGTTCGTTTATTTTTATTAGCATCGGTAACATTTTCATGACTTAATTTAATGCAACCGGCGGTATTACAAATACACAAAATGAAAATTTTATTGTTAATACAGGTGCCGGGGTAGTCTAAACA